GCTCTCACCACAGATCTAAGGTTACGGAAATCAGCTGTAAATACATAACGTTGACTGCCTGCCATCTGCAGCAACTGACCCATGTTGTACTTCTTACCGATACCTAGACAGAATATTTTGATTCCATGTCTACGAAGCAACTGGGCGGGCCTCTTCACCGAATCCTGTGACCCGCCATCAGTCATGACTATTGCGACCTTTGAGCTCCTTCTGTTGGCGCGAGAGAAGAGACGGGAGTAGGCATAACGGAGAGCTCCTCCTGTTCTGGTGCCTCGTCCGGGATATCTGATGCGGTCGATAACTCTTAGTATGCTGTTGACTCCACGGTTTTGATCGAAGCGGAGAACTAGCTCTGATCGCGAAGAGAAAAGGATAATGCCTACGCGAACGTAACTTCTTGATATTGTAAATGAACGAACCATGTTTTGGACGAAGCGGAGGCAACGTTTAAAGTTTCCTCTGCCGTAATGCTCGATACTCCCAGAGCCGTCAATGATGAAGACCAAGTCAAGCCTGGCACGACAAACTGAAAGAGAATATGATATTTAAGAACTATGTAACAACAATATGCTAAAGCCAAAGTGCATAGTTTGAGGCTAATACCCAGGGAAGGCGATTTTGATAATGCGTAAATTTATTCTTCAAGAAAGACCTTCACCTTCACCCATCCTCCTTGTGCCTCGTAACTCTTGGGGCCTTTCTTTAATAGCCTGCGAGCAAGCTCTCCGGGGCGATCTGGTGGCAGAGCGGGAAAAGGAATCAGAGCTCGCAAATACGTCTCTAGAATTTGAATTCCACCTCCACTTTCCCAGTGACTCCCCGTCGACTGAGCTGTCAGGTTTCCGCCAATCAGCGCGAAGCAGAAACGAGCGCGAATGTAAACAAACATTGAAAAATACGTGCCAAGGGTAATGACGTCATTACTAATGTAATCTCCGCCCATCAGCATTTCGCATGGACTTTTGCGATGCAGACATTCAAATTCCAGGGACGTAGTTGCAATCTCTCCTTTCTTTTCCCGCCCCGCCGCCACAGCGCCCCGGAGAGCTTGCTCGCAGGCTATTCTTTAAGAAAGAAAGGAACTTCAATTACTTTTTTCCCCCTATCCATCATATGTTGCATTCTGATAGTCTGGACGTAAGATGATGAATTTATTATCAAAATTTTAACAAAATTACAAAACTGAGGGCATTATTAGACATAGCTAGACACCGGTTCAAGACAAAGGATCTGGAAAGATTACAGTGACAGTACCTTTTCCACCGGGTCTTATTGGACGTGGAGGTTTGGGCCTCGGTCTTGGAGGTCGAATAACTGTAAAAGATGAGTAAGTTAGTTAGTTAGTTGGTAAGTAAGTAAATAAATAAAAAATATATAAATAACCTCGCAAGCATCCACTTTACTTTATCCCCTGTCACAGCTTTGCAAACTGTGAAGTGCTCCTCCTTCACTACTTGGGACTACATGCAGTGAAGCGAAGCGGCTATTACCTTGCTGAATTTATTAAAGTGGGAAGACTTTCAAGTTTTTGAAGTTTTAAAACTTCAAAAACTCATTAATAATTCGTAATGATAAAACAAAAGAAACTAAAAATAAAAAAAAATTAAAATCAAAAGAAATTTATATCTGATAAAGACACGGCTAATCTTTACGTCCAATTTTATAGACTAAAATAACCCCAAATCTAAATATTAGTCCAAGAATGAGATGACCTAAATCAGAGATTTGAAGCCGTTCAAAAAACTCTCAGTCGTGTATTATCAGGTATAAAAACTCTCGGCTTCGCCCCGAGTTTTCAAAGCTGATAATACACTCCTGCTCGTTTTTTAAATAGTACTTAATATTTGAATGCACAGTATTTTTGTCAGATTTGATTACTGACCTTTCCTAAAGCATCTATTTTTGCGTTCATTGATCTGCTTTGCTTTCAGTGACAACGGATAAACTTGCATGCAAGAGATTCTTCCCCGGAAGTACCGTCTGTCACCAATACGCGCTCCCAGTCTGACAGGATAATTAGTTGCTAATCGTATTCTTCCAATGTACTTGCGTGCTACAAATCGATTTTGTACGAACAACTTGGCTCGTCCTGATCTGTGATTGTATGTTGCCGCCACAAGCTGCCATCTCCGAGGCACAACTCTCCTACTTATTACCGCTTTGGTGAAGCTGCGTCCCCTTCGACGAGTAAACCGTACAAACAGCGTTCTTGGTGAAATCATCCAAAAGTGGACGCCCCACCCGTTCGGCATGTAGTTAAAGATGGGTCCCGCTCGTCCCTCGTGGTAAATCCATGCCATCAACGTAATGGATCGTCTAGTATCCAGTTTTCCGCGGTTAGGAAAATAAATATAACTGGTGGATCTACCCAGAAACTGGAACGAGCCGTCACGTGTTCCATCAGGGCCAGGCGCAGTCCTGACATTTCTTAAGATGCCAGGAGGGTTCCTACTAAGACTTATGTCGCGGCCTCTCACTCCACCATTTAGGGGATAGATCGCAACAGCTCGCACGGTGGCTGCAAGAAGAAGAGATGAACTTTAATAGGACTGTTTAGATTGTTTTTCTCTGGAGGAAATTCATTCGGCTAAGAAAGGTTAAATAAATTAAAATTAAAATAGTTCTTTAAACAAAGCCAGAAAAAATCCTTTGACGGTTTCGACGCCTGGCAGCCGTCTATTTCAAAACTGAACAAAACTTGCGAAGGTAACCACTCCCCCGCCCCCTCACTGGCTGGGTATGGAGATTTATTGCCTTCAATATAATTTCTTTAGCATTAAAAAGGGTAACACATACGCGGTGGGCGTGGTTTGACAGGACCTGTTGGCTTTACAGGCTTTGCTCCAGGTTCTAGAAGACAAAATAAATACAAAAATTTCAAACGGTGTTATCTTTACTATATACGGTAATATTGATGAACAAAATTTGCGTTTATTTGCTGGTAAGATAACGATCTAGTCGCTAAACCTTGCGTTCCTTAAATGGTATCGTATCATCAAATGAGCTGCTAGGATTTCACACAATGCAGGAAGTTTGAATATCAATGAATGATATTATTTTGATATTATACGTACATAATTAATAATTCATATAAAAATGGGGTCCAACCTGAGCATATGCGACTGACGATTTTACGTGCAGCAGATCTTAAGGTGGCAAATTTGGACGTGAACACATGCCTTGGAGTACCAGCTATCTTCTTCAACTGCCGCCGGCTGTACTTGAGACCGACGCCAAGTGCGTAGATGGAAACGCCAGTACGACGCAACCTCCTAGCAGGAACGATGACATCATCATAGGAAATACCATCCGTCAAAACCACCAAGACCTTTTTTCGCCCAGGATGGGGTTGGGGCCTGAACAGGTACCTGGTTGCTCTTCGGATAGCTAAGCCGATTCGAGTTCCTCCATTGATATAAGGCATCTTTTGAATAGCGTTCATGACGCCACGACGTGTGTAGTACGTATTAAACTGGAAGACTGGTTCCGGTCTGCTTGCAAACACGACCACACCAACGTGCGTCCCGCGTCTGGAAATAATGAAGCTCCCAGCTACCTCCTTCACAAAGTCTTTGACGCGTTGGTAGTTACCTTTACCGTACATTTCGATGCTTCCAGATGCATCGACAAGGAAACCAAGATCGACCTTTGCTTTGCACACTGAAGTTAATAATGAAAAATAAATAAACTGTAATGCTGGTGAAAAATAAACGTAAGTGATAATCCATAATAATAATAATAATAATAATAATAATAATAATAATAATAATAATAATAATAATAATAAGCAGAAAAACTATGAAGTAAAATATAGTTTATGAAAAATATACGGAAGCAGGAAGATGTACTTTTACGCAAGTGTTACTCTGGATGCGAAACTAATCCCGCTCGTCTACGACAAGGTATTCTTTGTACTGAAATACTGCCAGGTCCAAAAAAATTCATAAGGAAACCAGGTAGAATTAAAAAAGAAAAAAATATATTAATAACAGTATTAATGAAAGTAATGATAAATATCATAAACATTGATTAGCTAAAGTGTGCAACAGAATTTGCCGAAAACGAAAATTGCTTTGTAGGTAATGCAACGATAAAAAATGGCCTTCAAGCTCAAGTATGTTCTAGTTTCCTTTTTTTATTTTACTGGAGATGAATACTTTTAAAACCTGGCCAAAGTTTCCTGGAACGTACTCTAGAAACAAACCGCCTGATACGTACTCGGTTTTCCTGGGCGAAGAGGCACTCCACCTGGAACAACAGGGCGTCCAGGCCTTGGACCTAGAAAATGTTGCAAAATGTTAGTTAATTCCACTTAGGTCTTTCGTAAGTTCAGCTTAAGTGTCATTTTGTGTACAATACCAAAATGCTTCTGTCAACTCTAGACCTTACCTTACCTGAGCCCCACAAAGTATGACTTGTATAACAATGGTACAATAAATTACTACCTCAATCATTCGTTAACCACAAGTACTAGTGTCCCCTAAATATCTTTTTGACACTTGATAGCATATTAAGGGTGGATTAGCAAAAAACGTACCTTTCAAGAAACACCTCTTCATGCGAGCAGCAATTTGTCTCGAATTCAAAGCCACGCTGTAAACCTGCATACAAGAGATCTTTCCTCTGAAGAAGCGGCTGTCACCAATCCTTGCCCCCATTCTGACAGGGTAATTTGTTGCCAACCTAAACCTTCCGATGCGCTTTCTTGCCACCAATCTATTGTTTACGTACAATTTAGCGACACCAGTTCGACTGCTATATGTTGCTCCAGCGTAGTGCCATTTTCGATGCCTAACACCTCGGTACTGAAGATGCCGCGTGAACAGACGCCTTTGCCGACGGGTGAACCGTACAAACAGCGTTGTTGGAGACACCATCCAAAAGTGTACGCCCCATCCGTTTGGCATGTAGTTGAAGATTGGACCAGCGCTTCCCTGGTGGTATATCCATGCCAGCAGAGTGATGGATCGCCTAGTGTCGAGCTTCCCATCGTTAGGGAACTGAATATAGCTGTTCGGTTTACCATAGAACTGGGTCGCAGTGTTCGGTCGTCCATCAGGGCCTGGGGTAAATCTGACATACCCTAGTTTCCCGGATGGGTTTGAGAAAACGCTGATATCTTTTCCCTTGGTTCGGTATGAAAGCGGGTAAATGGCTATGGCACGAACGTTACCTTTGAAAAATTAGTATCATTCGTTAGTGGCTCGTCTTTAACTACTTAGTACATATAAAAGATAGAGCAAGCAAAGGAAAACATAGTTTACACCATACTTCACTTTAGAGAAATACGTAATAGAGTGGTTTTCGTTTGAGTGTCGTAAAACCAAAACCAAAGTAATTACTCTGGCCAATCACATAGGACACAGACAATACATTGAACCAATCAAAACTCGAAGTAATTACATGTGGCTGACGCAAAAAAATGCATGCGAGCGCGTCACAATTGGCTTTGGTTTTACTTCTGATTGGATGAAAAGGTGGCGCGAATCTTTTAAGCCAATCGCATCGTGTAGAAAGTGCAAAACCAATTACTTTTCGACACTCAAATGCAAACCGCTCTATTCGTTATAAACACCATCACGAATAATAGTGGGACAAAGAAGCTCAAGTTCGACGAGAATCGAACCCACAACAAAATAAATTATTATCGTTACTCTCATTTTTGAAATAAAGAGCTTGTACTTTTAGCAAAGAATTGCTTTTATCAACTGAGTTCACTAGGTAGGTTCGCCACCGAAGGGAGGTTGTCTCAATAACTGAAAAATGGCTGACGATTCGAGGGCTCCAAACGTTAGCTTCACAACCCTCCTACGGTGGCCCACAATCTACTGCTAACCAATTTAACTGATAAAACCAATTCATCGTATTTTATCCCAACCGATGCAACACCACAGCCTCTAGGAACTAAACCAATAATTCATCTCTTATAGCCCTAATTCGCGTCCGTTTTGAAATTGGCAAAGTTTCGAAGTTTTACTCCTAATCATGCATAAGGGCTATTTCAACAGGTCATGAGCTATCGCTCAATGATAATTAAATGTGATGCAGAACTTGTAATTAACTTGAATCATAAATTAAAGAGATCTTTGATTGTACGATTTGCTGGATTTTCATTTTAGCGCCACTGAGTGAAACAAAGAGAGTTTATCTGGGGCGCAAACTCATGCTCCACATGCGGTCACGTTGCGGGATAGCAAAGATGCAAGACAAATTTGATGGTACTTACGTGATGGACGGTTGGGCTTTGCTGGTTTGCTTGGCTTCCCCGCACCTGGAGATACAAGAGATATCTTGTCTTATACTAGGCTTGATAATCACATGACGTCAGGTTGATCAAATCTCGGTCAGTCAATTTTTCTCCAACAAAATAATTTCAGCAGTAGCAGCAATAACAGATATTTTGTCAGACTAGTAGATTAACCATTATGATTCCTTTTTCACGACAAGCGGAATAAAAAAGTCTATTGAATGATTTTTAACTGACAAAGCACATTTTACCTGAGCAAGCCTTTTTCTTGATAACTCTTACAATTGAGGCCAAATTTCTAAATCCTGCCGTATAAACATGTCTTTTGGATGAAGCAATCTTGAGTAGCTGCGGCAAGTTGTAATGCTTTCCGATTCCTATAGCAAATATCTTGATTCCACGCCTTTTCAGCGCCCATGCGGGTCTGCCCACTCGGTCCTGGGAACGGCCATCAGTCATCACGATCATTACACACTTACTACTACTGCTCCTGCTCTTAAAGAGAGTCCGCTGTGCATAAGACATTGCTAATCCTGTCCTAGTGCCTCCGCTTGGATATTTGATGTTGTTAATGGCTCGAAGAATATCTCGTTTTCTGCTGTAGGTATTGAAGTTAAATATAAGGCGAGGGCGAAATGAGAATAGAACAATGCCTATACGCGTGAGTCTCTTGGAGATCTTGAAGGACACAACCATTCGCTTCACAAAGTTAAGGCAGCGCTTGAAATTTCCTCTCCCATAGGATTCAATACTCCCAGAACCGTCGATGACAAAGGCCAGGTCAACCTTTGCTTTGCAAACTGTAAATTAACATCAATAAATTTTAAGTCAGAGTTTTGTGTGTGCCATTTCTTACAGTAAAGAGCTTTTAACCCAAGTCATTATCTTTGATAAATTTAGAAAGGACATTTCGCGACGCCATCACTTGTTTCCCCGCGAAATGACGTCTGAGAAACAATTGCAGAAATTCCGTTTTGATGGTGTGTCACTATCCAGATCAGGGTAGCTTGGTCGTGCCGCGTGGTAAATTTGCTTCAACCAATCAGAAGCACCACCCAGATATGGATTGTGACACGTCATCAATATGGAATTTTTACAGTGGTTACTCAGATGTCATTTCGCGGAGAAACCAATGGTAGCGTCGCCAATTTCTCAAGCTACTACTTCCGTCAATGATAATGACTGAAAAGACATAGATACCTCAACAGTCCTGACACGTTGAACGTCTGTTTTTGTTGATTGATTTTTACTTTTAGCAAATTGCGATAATATGAAAGGAACTTTGAAATAATAAGTGCTACCCCTGCACTGTACCCCAGCGTAATGACTATATTCTGCCTTCGGCAAGTCTGACCACCGGTGAGGAAAACTATTCTGTTTAACTACTAAAACTAGCCCTATACAACGCTAATAAAGAGAACTGGAAAATGAGCATATAACAGTATACTGAACTCTCTCTAAGCGAGACATCAAAGGAGACTGCCTAGAATAGGACAATAGTCCAGTTTCTAGTTCGCTATGACCGCTGAATTAAAGAACTGAAGAGAAGCATTTTCTTACAGCCTTAGCCTCAATCTGAAGTAATATATTCACAAATTCCAACGAGAAAAATACCTTTTTATTACTCTGTCTTTTGTGTATATTCAAATTTCAAACACTTACTTGCTGGAATTTCTGAATATTTTACTTTACGTCGAGGCTAACCCTGTATGAATGTGTCGTTAATGTTTGTATTCAGCAGTAATTTTTAATTCGAAACTAGACTATTGCACGATGATGTCATTTTTCTACGACTACCAGAATCCTTCAGTTCGCTGTTGTTTTCTTAAGTACAGAAATTAGGGCTGTTATGTTTGACAAATTTAAATGAGAAAGCAAAAACGAGATGAATTCTGGTAGTTGCAGTCAAATGTGGTCATAGTGAAAATGGCCTATTAACAAGTTAATCCTTTCGCTCTTAAGGGCGAAAATCCCAACACACACAGCCGAATGTTTCATTGGAATGGCCTCAATTTAGAGCTTGGCCACTCCCCATTAGTACAAGGGGAATATCTTTCAATTGAAATAAAAGTGAAAATTTTGAGTACCTTTTCCAGCCGGACGAATTGGTAAACTGGGAACTCCAGGAACGACAACTGGCCCTAAAAAAGGAAACGAGTAGATAAGGAAGACAGTCAGTCCGAAAGAGCTATCTAAAAAAGTATTTTAGACACAAATGAGGAAATAGTAGCCCGCTGATAGCAGACGTTGTTTGTTGTGTTAAGTAAATGCATTCGAGTGTAAATGTATCTAGAGTTGGAAAATGAGAAAATATAACATTTTATCTCCCTGGCTTTCGCTTTTAACACTAGAGGAAACTAACTAAAATTCCCAAAATGGGTCATAATATAAAGAAACGTATACCTTTCCTGAAGCATCTCCTCTTTCTGCGTAGTATTTGGCTTGTTGTGAGAGCCCTGTCGTACACCTGCATACAGCTGATTCGACCACGGAAATACCTCCGGTCACCAATACGAGCTCCCATCCTTGCTGGGTAGTTAGTAGCGAGTCGTATTCGCCCGATATATTTACTTGCTGTAAATCTTTTATTGACAAACAATTTCGCTCGTCCTGTCCGTCCGTTATACGTCGCACCGACAAACTGCCATCTCTGAGGTACCACTTTTCTACTTAACACTGCTTTAGTGAAACGGCGTCTTTTACGACGCGTGAACCGCGCAAACAGCTTTCTGGGAGAGATCATCCAAAAGTGCACGCCCCAACCATTGCGCTTGTAGTTGAAGATGGGCCCCGCGCGTCCCTGATGGTAAATCCAGGCCAAGAGGGTGATGGAACGCTTCGTATCTATCTTCCCTCGCTTGGGAAATTCGATGTAGCTGCTTGATCGACCAAAGAATTGATAGGAGCCTAGAGGCTTTCCGTCAGGACCTGGAGCTAGTCTAGCACCCCTGATGATTCCTGGTGGGTTACCGAACAGGCTGACATCTCGACCACGTGTTTTTGACGTCAGAGGATAGACAGCAGATGCGCGCACTGGACCTGAACAGGAAGGAAGGATAACACTTTCTCTACTGCCTGAGCATTACTTACTTACTCAAAAGCCATGAAAATTTTCTTATTCAATAATAGCTTTTTAGAGTGCTACTTACAAATGTCACCATTGGCAAATTAACTTACAATATTGCGAAATATTCAATAATAGCATTTTAGAGTGCTAATAGCGTATGTAACAAGGTAAAAATTAACTTACAATATTGCAAAATATTTCATTGCTTTTCCATCAAAATATGATTCACGGAGGAAAACAAATAGACAAATCCAACTATCAACCCCGGTAAGGTTTTTTTTTAACAAATGTACCAGTACAGAAGCTTTTTTGGGGTTTTTCTTTCGCCCACATAAACACACAGTCTCGCAAGTCACCTTTGCTACATTTATGCACTTAAAATGTTTACCAGAGTAATATAAACGTAGTTCAAGTCAGCAAATCGTGTCATTCTCTGGTCCATTAGTAGCAGATTTCTCTGCGACTGTTGCCGTTGGCGGTCATAATAAAAAGAAACTGTACATAACGGCTGACACTTTGCAACTATTGGTGGAGCAACTAGTGTCAGCTTTTAATACAGGTTCTGAAAATTTGATTACCCTTTTAACATATTAAGCCATATTCAAAAATGCAATGTAACCTTAAAACAAACTTACGAGGTCGAGGCTTAGGTCTGACCGGTGGTCGAACAGGAGGACGTACAGGAGGTCTGATCGGAGGTCTGACAGGAGGCCTGGAGGTAGGTCTAGGAGTAGGTCTGGCGGCTGAAATTAGGTTTAAGACTTTAATAAAGGCATTTAAAAAGAGAGGTTGAAAGAGTATTTTAACCAAGTTATTGCTATTTACCCACATTTCTTAGCATGTTTGCGGTTTTGTTTTGAAAAGGTTAAACGGCTATTCTACTTGAAATCAGTTCCCGAACATAGAAATGTGGTCGTGGGGGTGGTGGAGGGAAAACAATTGGAATGTGGTGGTGGTGGAGGAGGACAAACAATAGAAAAGAGGTGGTGGTGGACAGAAAACAGTAGAAATGCGGTGGTGGTGGTGGCGGTGGATGGAAAACAATAGAAATGCGGTGGTGGTGGTGGTAGTGGAGGGAAAACAATAGAAATGTGGTGGTAGTGGTGGTGGAGGGAAAATCCTGCGCAAAGAGACTTGACCGGTGCCTACTATACTACTACAGCCTAGAGTGTATCTGAAATATATTAATAACTTACCTTTGCAAGCTTTTGACTTTATGACTCGTACAATATTTGGAAGGTTTCTGAATCTGGCCACATAAACATTTCTCTTGGAAGACGCTATCTGTATCAATTGTCTCATATTGTAGTTTTTGCCTATACCAATGGCAAATGTGTTGATGCCTGAGCGATGTAGTGCTTTTGCTCTGCTACGCACTCGGTCACTGGATCTTCCGTCAGTCATCACAATCAATACACGCTTACAACGCCTTCGCTGACCTCTGAAAAGATACCGCTGCGCATACCACAAGGCGTAGCCCGTTCTCGTGCCACGCCGAAGATAGGGAATTCGGTCAATAGCTTTCATCAGTTGCCTCTTCTTGTAATATCTTTTGAAACCAAACCTCATTCTCGCTTTGGAGGAATACACGACTGCCCCGACGCGCGCGTACCGGGGTGAAATTTTAAAGGAAGCAACCAATCTTTTTACGAAGTTGAGACAACGTTTGAAGTTTCCACGCCCTGAGGCTTCGATACTGCCAGATGCGTCAATTACAAACGCAAGGTCAATACATGCTTGGCAAACTGGGTAAGAGAACAAAAACATGTTGTTAAGCTCTTTTTTACTTTTGTACCTACGCAAAAGCAATAGGTCCTATTAGCTTTTACTAATAGCTTATTGCATATGTAGATGGCGTGATCTCTCAGGTGATTTGATCCTCTACATTAGGTATGCATGCAAGCGAGTGCCTGCAGCCAGTTTCTTTCTGGAATTTCCCTCCTGAAGTACTCTCTATCACTCCATACTCGTGGGAAAACATGTGGACGAGAACAATTAGGACGAGGCTAAGGAGCGGTGAGTTAAGAACGATAACGTCTTTTCTCGCGTCTCCCCAATCCCTTGGTTTCAGCCAGCAACTCCCTGGGGTAGATAACTCGCCTGATATTCACAACCTCCCTCCCTTCAGACATGAAAAATGATGTACCTTTATGCCTAGAAGGACAGACGTTACATGCAAAGTGAAGGACAAATTATTCAACGGTTAAATCGATTTAAGCCCCAATATTTACTCCCAAACTATACTATAGAGGTTTCTATTGCAACGGAAAAGAACACAAACGAGAAGAATAATTTGATATTTACCTGGCCCAGCTGGGCGGATAACTGGTGGCACAATAACAGGACCTGGCAAAACAGTTTTACAAGACAACAATTAAAATAATAATATTAACTGCAGAATTGTTGCAAGGCAAATGCGCAAATTTACCATACCTTCTTTTCTTTTAGAAAACCCTTCATCATTGTCTTCGATTATTGGAAACTTAGTTGAGAAAAAGAGACTAAAATGCGAGTCTCATAGACAAAACTGAACACGTCATCTTATTTACGCAAGTGCGTGCGTAAATACATATTTTTTCATAGCTACTCAATTGCACTTATATAGGGCAAGTACTCGCGCTACGTTCTAATAACTAAATGTACCGTGTGAAACGCGTTATTAGTTCCTACTTTTTTTTCCCATAAAGATAAAGTCAGAGGAAGTTACTAGGCTTGTCCAGGAAGTGTCAGGAAGGACAAAGCCGCAGTTCATGATACACTCCGCGATTTTCGTCCCAGACCTTCTCTTGATGCGATGCGTTTTCGTCAAATTGAAGTGACCAAAGAAAAACAGGGAACAGGTGCTGTGCTATACTATGGCAAAGTCTGGAGTTCGTATTTTTATGGTTCCACCACAGAATGAAGTGGATATCTCAATGAAGCATAAAGTGCAAATAAGGCTTAAAAAGGTCATCTGCATCAAACTGTTACCTCGAGTAAAGCACCTCCTCTTTCGCCGCAAAATCTGCGATGTCGTCAGCGCCTGATCGTAAACTTGCATACAAGAGATACGTCCTCTGAAGTAACGTCTATCACCTATCCGGACTCCCATCCTAACAGGATAATTTGTGGCCAATCGTATACGCCCGATACGTTTACGTGCGACAAACCGCCTGCTTATAAAGAGCTTAGCAGTTTTCTTCCTAAAGTCATAGGTTGCTCCCACGTACTGCCACTGGCGACGCAGAATTCTCCTGCTGAACACTGCTGCAGTGAAACGCCGTCTGCGTCGGCGCGTGAAACGTACAAACAGCGTTCTAGGAGACGTCATCCAGAAGTGAACGCCCCAGCCATTGGGCATATAATTGAAGATGGGACCCGCACGTCCCTCATGATATATCCATGCCAAGAGGGAAATGGAACGTTTAGTATCTAGTCTTCCCTTATTGGGAAACTCAATGTAGCTGCTTGATCTTCCAAGGAATTGTGTTGCAGTGTTTTGTCTCCTGTCAGGACCTGGCGCGTATCGGATGTTGCGAGCAGTTCCCGGAGGATTACTATACAAGCCTACGTCACGGGTACGAGTCCGCTGAGAGAGAGGATAAATAGCTTGTGCTCGGGGATGAACTAAACAAAAAATAATGAGGAACCATCTGTTGGTGGCGAGCTATTTCACAAGAATGCTATCAAGCGAAAAAGAGCTCATTTCATTCCACAATTGATATTTGTATGTCTAAAATAATACAGAATTACAAACTCCTAAGACAATCTCCCTTGAAAAAATCCAGATAACACTTACTTTTAGATCATATTTATGGTCTTCTTAACCAATACACAACAATTTCCCATGATCTATTCTCTAATAGACCGTAGAAATGACGTTAAAATGTTCAATAATCAAGTGGTTTCAGTTTTGAGAAGTGAGTGAAGTGGCCTTTAAGTCTCACAAAACTTCAAAGCAAAAGGTGGCGTTGTACCCGCTATGAAATTTTTCATTTCTACAGATGTGAAAGGGAAAGTATGTGTCTGCACTGGTCCAAGAGCTAAAGAAAATGAGGACAGCAAACTTGGTCTCGCGTTGAAGACAAAACCCCGGAGACTAAAAACTAGCACTGCATAAGATTATTACGACGGCGAATAATTATCAAATACGTACCAGGTTTTGAGGTAGAAGTTGGACGNTACTAGGCTTGTCCAGGAAGTGTCAGGAAGGACAAAGCCGCAGTTCATGATACACTCCGCGATTTTCGTCCCAGACCTTCTCTTGATGCGATGCGTTTTCGTCAAATTGAAGTGACCAAAGAAAAACAGGGAACAGGTGCTGTGCTATACTATGGCAAAGTCTGGAGTTCGTATTTTTATGGTTCCACCACAGAATGAAGTGGATATCTTAATGAAGCATAAAGTGCAAATAAGGCTTAAAAAGGTCATCTGCATCAAACTGTTACCTCGAGTAAAGCACCTCCTCTTTCGCCGCAAAATCTGCGATGTCGTCAGCGCCTGATCGTAAACTTGCATACAAGAGATACGTCCTTTGAAGTAACGTCTATCACCTATCCGGACTCCCATCCTAACAGGATAATTTGTGGCCAATCGTATACGCCCGATACGTTTACGTGCGACAAACCGCCTGCTTATAAAGAGCTTAGCAGTTTTCTTCCTAAAGTCATAGGTTGCTCCCACGTACTGCCACTGGCGACGCAGAATTCTCCTGCTGAACACTGCTGCAGTGAAACGCCGTCCGCGTCGGCGCGTGAAACGTACAAACAGCGTTCTAGGAGACGTCATCCAGAAGTGAACGCCCCAGCCATTGGGCATATAATTGAAGATGGGACCCGCACGTCCCTCATGATATATCCATGCCAAGAGGGAAATGGAACGTTTAGTATCTAGTCTTCCCTTATTGGGAAACTCAATGTAGCTGCTTGATCTTCCAAGGAATTGTGTTGCAGTGTTTTGTCTCCTGTCAGGACCTGGCGCGTATCGGATGTTGCGAGCAGTTCCCGGAGGATTACTATACAAGCCTACGTCACGGGTACGAGTCCGCTGAGAGAGAGGATAAATAGCTTGTGCTCGGGGATGAACTAAACAAAAAATAATGAGGAACCATCTGTTGGTGGCGAGCTATTTCACAAGAATGCTATCAAGCGAAAAAGAGCTCATTTCATTCCACAATTGATATTTGTATGTCTAAAATAATACAGAATTACAAACTCCTAAGACAATCTCCCTTGAAAAAATCCAGATAACACTTACTTTTAGATCATATTTATGGTCTTCTTAACCAATACACAACAATTTCCCATGATCTATTCTCTAATAGACCGTAGAAATGACGTTAAAATGTTCAATAATCAAGTGGTTTCAGTTTTGAGAAGTGAGTGAAGTGGCCTTTAAGTCTCACAAAACTTCAAAGCAAAAGGTGGCGTTGTACCCGCTATGAAATTTTTCATTTCTACAGATGTGAAAGGGAAAGTATGTGTCTGCACTGGTCCAAGAGCTAAAGAAAATGAGGACAGCAAACTTGGTCTCGCGTTGAAGACAAAACCCCGGAGACTAAAAACTAGCACTGCATAAGATTATTACGACGGCGAATAATTATCAAATACGTACCAGGTTTTGAGGTAGAAGTTGGACGGGGACGCATTGGACGCGTGGGTTGAACAGGAGCAGGAAGTGGATATACTCCTAAAATGTAAAGACAAAGTCACACCACTGACTTGAGTATGTAGTATAAACTGGTTTGTTTGCAAGGAAGCTGTGAGACAGCGTAAGTAAGAAAGTAAAAAGTACCGGTTGGTGTTATGAAAGGAATGAGGGTGGGGTTAATTACAAAAAGAACAAACAAAAATGTGGTGTTGATGTCGGTGGGGAGTAAAATACAAAATTCAAGTTCCATTAACTCAGTTGATGAAGTCTGTTTATCACCGAATAAAGATTCAGTTGCAAGGATGACGTTTGTAGTGAAAAACAACAACACTCCCATGCCTCGCGAAACAGCAGATGGTACACTTCGCATTTGTTTCCTTCCAGTTGGATTCTCAATTTCAGTAAAGTATTATAATATGTCAAAAGGTTCAGAACGAATAGAGTATACTGAACACCGGCTACCAGTTGTTGGTTATCCAACTGGCCAGAACATTGATCCTAAGGGGACTAACAAATCAGTCATTGTTTACCTTTAAAGCACCTTGCTTTTCGCCTAATAATCTGTAACAATGTTAGAGCATGTCCATACACTTGCATGCAAGAGATTCTGCCCCGGAAATACCGCTGACCAACAGCTCCCATAGACGCCTGACGTGCATTGGTACGAAGGAGAACTTTTTTCAGCTGTTTACGAGCAACAAACTTTCTGTCAACAAAGATTTTCGCTTCACCCGTTCGCTGCTCATATGTGACGCCAACAAACTGCCATCTTCGATAATTGATTACGCTTGGTGCTCGCAGTCGATCAACTGCACCGCTTTGGGAGCCACGTTGAAAAATCTCCATACATATACTGCTTTGACGACAAACTGAGAAGTCAACTCCGTAACTAAAGATGGGTCCTTCTCCCTTTGTAAACACCCATGCGAGTAACGTAATTGCTCTCATTGCATCCAAACGCCCTTTATTAGGGAATATGATGTAGCTGTTCTTGCGACCAAAAAATTCGTGAGAGGTGTCCGGTCGACCATCGGGTCCGGTGTTGGTTCCCACTTTTCCCATAATTCCTGCGGGGTTGCTGTTAAGACTGATGTCTTTTGCCCTGGTTACTCTCATCAAAGGATAAATAGCCAGAGCCCGCACAGGTGCTACAATATTTCCAAAAAAAGAGAGAGAATTTGTAATTTAAAAATAAAACAATGTGCGGAGGGACTCCTCTCAAAATGCTCAAAATTATTTTCTTATCATTTGGGTGTTTTAATGAGAATCGATGGAAAAAAGGAGTTTCCAAGAACTATAACAACAGCAATGGAGTAACGTACGTTTCCTCGGATGGTTTCAGCAACGAAAATAAAAATGCGCTCAAGTCACAGGCTCAAGAAAACTGAAGATCAACAAACCTTCAAAAAACCCAATTTTATTCGCAATGGTCGCGGTAATGCACGCCAGAAAGGAAAAATTCAGTAAACTAACATTAATACTTACGATTAGCAGGTCGTACAGTAGGTCTGGGTGGTCGGGGAGGAATTGGTCGCATAGGTCGTTGGGTCGGTTTAGTCGGCGGTACGAACGTATCTATAAAATAACATAATTAAACAACATATTTAAGACGATAAAGGAAAATAATGAACAAAATTAACTCCCGTTATTGAGGGCATGCTCGAGAATGCGAGTTTGTGTCGGCAATCGCAGAGTGGGGGACGAGACGTGTCTTTGAAAATAATTAGTTGATTGTTCATGAAGCTATACTGCGAGGCTGGCTTGACGTGAAAAAGGCGTTAGAATTGATGCGCGTCAGAAAAAGCGTACTCTAGCCAAAAACCAACTTCGTCATGTTAAAACAATTCTCTACGTTAACGTTCCCTGCTTTGCTTTCTTGTAATCTCTCCTTGAGCATTGTGCACCGATACTAATAAATGTGTTTCTAGCAACACAGGATGACTGAGGTACTTTTAGTACAACTAGACTTCTTTAAAAATTAAAAAAACCCTCTACGACAAGTTAAAACAGGGGCACCCAACGAGGATATAGTTCAAAACCACTTAACATAGCATTGTTGAACGTATTTTAGTATTTAAACGGTAGATATAGGCATATTTTTATCCCCTAAAAACTTTTCATCTGTTCGGATTTCCTAGCTGAAAGTCTAGTGATCCGAAAATTATAGGGATCAAAACTTACCTTTTCGAAAATTTCAGCCAGGAAAAGGCTCCCGAAAATTCTAGGTGGCCTTTTTTGGGGTAAATATCCGTTTAAAATGGGTAATTATACCATTTTGTAGATGTTGGAAAATCCTAGGAGAGGCAGGCAAGCAAGAAATTTTACAACAAATGTCCCAAAAATTCTAGTTCTCAAATCGTCTTCCGAACAGATATTTTCCCGAAAATTGCCGTTGGGTGCCCCTGTTAAAAGGGCTGATCACTGACCGGATAATGGAAAAGCTCTGGCAAACCTGATTTGCAGATCTTCCTTTTGATTAGGCTGACAAGAGAACCTAAATTTCTGAAGGCCGCTGTATAAACATGTCTTCTGTCGGAGGCGATATATTGCAACTCGCTCAGGCTGTAACGTCTTCCTATTCCCACACAAAATGTCTCTGTTCGTGAGCGTTGTAGCAGAGCAGCTGCTCCACGAACGTCGTCTTTAGAGCCTCCCGTTGTTAACAAAACAAGGACCCTTTTTCTGGAGCTCCGCCGTACGATGTTCGTGTAAGAGTACTGTAGGGCAGCTCCGGTATATCGTGCACCACACACAAGCTTCATGGCCCTTATCAGCCTGATGACATAGGACTTTTTCGAGCTGAACCTGATGACAAGTTTGGGCGCCTGTGCGTACAGTATTAGGCTTGTTCGAACGCTTCTGATCGATAGGCGGAACTCGCCAACTAAACGCACTAGGAAGTTCTTAACTCGAAGGAAGTTTGCTTTTGTGAAACGCACGTTTTCGCTGCAGGCGTCCACTACGAAAGTCAGGTCGATCTTGGGTTTGCAAACTGTACAAAAAAAAAAGAAAAAAAAAACCGTAATGCTTAACAAATAAAACATTGAGGCACTTTTTATAAACCATTTCTGTATTGAAATAATTAATTTTATGAATTTCATATATTTGAACTGCAGGATTAAGAAATAAAATAATGTAAAGAAGTTCGTCGCAGTTGAAAACGTAACTTATGCAGTTGAGGCTTTCTTTTCGAAACTGCATAAGTTGTCATTTCAACTGCCATGATTTTCATTACTGTAACATTTATCGTCTGCATTGGTGGCTATTTATGCGCCATCCAATTTTTTCACCTCCACAGAATAATTTTCAGTTGTGTGCTAAGGAACCTACCATTTGGGTATGGTGAGGCTGGCACTGATTTTGTTGTCATAAAATAAACCTCAGCGTCATTTTTTGTCACAAGAGCATAATGTACATTTAAAGATGAGGTGAAATTTTTATCAAAACAGCCTTGCTCCCAACAAGGCCTGGATATTCCGGCAGCAGGCAACTGTAAAGTGAGGCATTATTTATTTTTTTACAGTCCGTGCGAACAAAAATGTATCGACTTCACCAGAAAAAAAGAAAAAACAAAACAAAACAAAACAAAAAAAGGAAAAAAACAAAACAAGACAAAACAAAAAAGAACCGATTTGTCAGAAGAACGACACAATAATTTTTGGAATTTCCGGTTAGATCAAATACGTTACGTTATACTGTGATGCTATATATTTGGGGGCTGAGGGATAAGGGAAGGCTAGGGTGTGCATTGTGGAAATGTCCCTGTTAAAAATAATGCCAATCGCCTTTTGCTTCAAGAGGCTAACTTGCCTATTTTTAAATTTACTATAGAGCCCCAGCTTAAGAACGCGCAGTCGACAGCCCAATGAACCCCACTTATGGGGGTCTTGTTAATAACATTAAAAAAATCATATACACTTATTTAGTTCTTCACGATAATGGTGGCTCAACCACTGCAAACGTTTTGAACATAAAATGGTCTAACCTTTTCCGCTTGGTCCGGGTGGTCCACCTAGGATAAATACGGTACAGTGGCGTTAAAAGGATGCAAGTCAAGAACACAGAGCTTCAGTCCAGAAGCACCCAAAGAGCTACAGCTACAAAAAAAAAAAAACAGCTACAAAAAAAGCAAAGCCAGCAGTAAAAAGTGAGAAAAAAGGACCCCAGAGAAGACACAGAGAGGCAAATATCTCTATCTTTGAATTGCCTTTAGAGGTAATCTTTCGGGTTCTTTCGCTGAATATTTTAAACAAAAGATTTTCCATCGAAAAGAAATAAAGTGGTGTTACCGATAAACTTATAGACAGCAAACTTACGTCTAAAGCACCTCTTCTTTCTGCGTGCAATCTGATTAGGATTCAACGCCACGTCAAAAACTATTACGCAAGAAATTCGCCCCCGAAAGTACCGCCGATCTCCTTTCCTGACCCCCATCCTCACGGGATAGTTTGTCGCAAGCCGTATCCTTCCAAGCTTCTTTTGCGCTATTACTCTACTGTCAAGGTACAATTTGGCATAACCCGTTAAGTAATCATATGTGGCGGCGACGTACTGCCACTTGCGCGGTGTTATCCTACGACTAGAAAGCGGCGCCGTGAAGGTTCTCCCTTGACGGCGTGTGAAGCGCGCGAACAACGTATTTGGAGTCACCATCCAAAGATGAACGCCCCAGCCGTTCGGCATGTAATTGAAGATAGGTCCCGCGCGTCCTTCATGATAGATCCAAGCAATAATTGTGATCGATGTTCTTGTATCAAGTTTTCCACGGTTGGGAAACTCGATGTAGCTGTCTGGGCGTCCATAGAACTGGTACGAGCCACCAGGTAACTTGTCAGGACCAGGTGCTGACCGAACGTAGCCAAGTTTTCCTGGAGGGTTTCCGAACATGCTCATATCCCGGCCCCTTGTTTTAGAAGTCAGAGGATAAAATGCAGAGGCTCTGAGGGGTCCTGCAAACAAATTCATTTATGAAATAAGAAGGTCGATGTTTTTTATATTTTTATACTACTAAATTAGAAATTTCTACAATTTGATTGGCTTAGAGCAGTGGTATTTCAGCTTAATTTGAAATACCTACATGTGAAAATTACAAACCTCCTACGTGTAGTAGTGTAAACAATTAATAGCATGATTTGTAGGTGATATTTGGCGTAAATACCACTCGTGATATTTCAAAATTGTCTCAAATTTCACTCGCCTAACAACTCGTGAAATGACGTATGACAATTTTGAAATATTACTCGTGGTATTTATGCCAAATATCACTACAAATCATGCTATTCCATATACAAATCTAAATCAATAGAAGTGTTAAATAGGCAATCAGTTCGCAAGATGTGTACTCACTAGGGAATGGAAAGGTGCGGTCCATATTCACTACCGTCACTTTGATTTTCGGTTAATTAGTTCTTACTTTGACAAAAGTCGGGCTGGGCTTAACCAAGCCCTTTTGAAAACACAACACTTCCCTTACCTCAACTGCTTTCCAACACAAACACATTAAATAACTCTTGCATGAATTACTGGGTTTCATAACTGATTTATATTTCACCTTTGCGAGGTCTGGTGGGACGAGGTGTGGTCGGTGTTGTTCTTGGTTTGGAGCTTGGTTTGGTGAATGGAGGCACTGTAAAGAAGGCATATTAAATATTAAGCTGAGTAACTAGCAATTTAAGAAATTGGGCAGGTATAGATGGAATTAAGGTCGGAAAGCTGTGTTGAGGGTAAAATCTGTTCCCCGGTTAAAAACGTTTTTTTAGCCTTCAAAGGTTACCAGGAAAAGAACTCTGGAAAAAACCTATCTTTATAGTAGGCAGGATAATGGTTTAACCTCAGAACGGATTTGATTTCGACAATTACTGATTGATGCATGATAGAAATATCACTATTCGGTGCCATATTGCTTAGGTGAGAAATTTTAACTAAACTTTACTTTCTTCAAAAAATGTATAGAAAACATGTACCTCACACTTTGCGACTTTTCGAGCGACTGATAAGAACATAAAGTGTCAATAGCACCTGCTTTATATTTTTTTGTGCTTTTTTTTTCATTTTGTCTATTCTACTACAGGTCTATCCTGAACACAAATTCAAATTACTTACGACGTTTGAAGCAGGTTGAACTAGCCGCTAAGATCTGTTTCCGGTTCAGGGCACGGCTATAAATCTGCACACAAAAGACTTTTCCTTTGAAGTAGCGCTTATCGCCACGACGGGCTCCAATTCTGATTGGATAATTTGTAGCCAATCTGAAGCGGCCAACGCTCTGTGCTACTAGTAGCCTAGAGTTCACCCAAAGTTTGGCCACGCCAGTCTTGTAGTCGTAAGTCGCACCGATGTAGTTCCAAGCTCTGTAACGTATCTTCCTGCTCGTAATGAACACAGCCTTAGTGAATACACCGTCCCTGCGGACGAACCTGGCAAATAGTGTACGTGGTCCTATCATCCACACATGCACGCCCCAGCCCGGTCCTGGTCTGTAGTTAACGATAGGACCTTTGATACCCTCGTGATACACCCATGTGAGAATGGAGATGGAGGCTACAGTGTCTAGTTTTCCGTTATTTGGGATTTCTATGTAGCTCTTAGGATTGCCATAGAACTGAGTAGACCCATCTTTTCTACCGTCTGGGCCTGGACCAAATTTTACACCGACTCGGCGTCCAGTTGGACACTTACGACTACTGATGTCGCGTCCGCCATTTATTTTGTCGAGCGGATAAATGGCTACCACAAGCGGAAGAACTGGTAAAAATAAAGAGAACAATGAAAACATTAAATCCCGTTGTGTGGAAGAATTCAACAAGCAGTGAGAAAATCGGGCTATTTATACCTACAGATTTAATTATGCTTGGAAAGTCGACCCTCGATTGCAGAAAAGAATGACAAATTCTTAACGTAAAACCAAAATTGGAGACAACTACTCTTAAAAAAATAAAATACGTGTAAAAGGAGAATCTGACCTGGCGGTGGACGAGTTGGTAGCGGTCGCGCTAAAAAAAGAAAACGAAAATAATAAAGTTAATTTGTACAGGTTAGTTACCATTCACACAACACGGAAAATCATAACTTGTTCACGATCATTCTTATTGTGCGTAGTCCTCGCTGGCGTTGCCCTCTGACCAAAAAGCTAGAGGACTGGGTAAGTGTACGAGATTGAGCCATATGTGGGTTGAGTTTGTTGTTGGTTCTCTCCTTTGCACCGAGAGGTCTTTCTCCAGGTATTCCGGTTTCCCCCTATTCTAAAAAACCTACATTTCCAAATTCCAATTCGACCAGGACTGGTAGACGAAGAATCACTACGTATGTGCTACCTCCAAATAGAAATTAATTGTATGTATGTAGGTATGTAAATCTTCATTTATACACGGAAAATCATCAGTTAAGCTTAAGTTAAAAACTAAAATTAATTACAGCTGCTTTACATGATTGCCGCGTGGGAATCCAATATATTTTCTACCTTCTTGATGTTTGGCTTAAAATGATCAACATAGGAAGTAATTAATTTCTTTTTGGAGAAATTTGAGCAAGTTGGACTAACAACGTTTCGTACATTTGAAGTTCTTTCCACCGATAAAGATTATTGAGTGCGATGTTTTCGTGGTTGCCTTTCAGTGGTGTTGACAAATCGTCAAGCTTAAGATAACCTTTATAAAAGTAACAAACAACTGCAATGACCTCCACAAACCTCTAAAACATTTCTTTTTGATGGATCTGAGTTGCCTTCCATTCAGCGCACGATCGTAGATCTGCAGGCACGCCATCCGACCGCGGAATATCCTTCTATCCCTAAGTTTCTTCCCTGATATCGCCGGATAATTTGTGGCTAACTGTATTTTTCCAATATTTCTTTGGGAAATAGGTATAGCGTCATTCCACAACGTGGCCAAGCCTGTGACGTGGTCATAAGTCGCAGCTATGTAGTTCCAAGCTCTTGGTCTTATTTTTCGGCTGGTGACAACACTGATGGTTTGCAAAGACCTGGGCACGAACTTTACTAGAAGTGTGCGCGTGTTCTTCAACCACAACTGCACTCCCCAGCCCTTGGGAAAGTAATGAAATATAGGTCCTCTTCCTTCCGGATAAACCCATAAAACTATGGTAAGAGAATTTTTGGTATCGAGGCAACCTGTGTTTGGGAAGTAAATGTAGCTATTTGCTATGCCCTGCAGATGAAAAGAGCCAAGAGGAAGACCATCAGGACCCGGAGCTGGCTTGACATTTACAAGTCTGGCAGCAGCATTGCGGTTGATGCTGATGTCTCGTCCTCGTGTTAAGCCGCTGAGAGGGAATATAGCTCTTGCAGCAGCTGATCCAGTAACTGTAAGAAACGGAAAACAGAGGAGAAGTTGAAAATACGCAAGCCAGGAGTGCATGTGATTACGGGTACCTTTGTTTAAACTATATTTTAATGATTAGCGCTATAAACGGCGTACTGATTGAGATTTTGAAACCTGCTAACTGACCAGTTGGTTGTTATATCAAACAAAACGATGTTACGCTCGGATTTTATGGAGAAATCGCTTGTGAAATGGTTGAAAATGGTGACGGAAAGCCCTATGGTGATTTGCGGCGGTATCTGTTGGGAAATATGCCGACCAAAATTGAAGGTCACTATATCGTCGGAGTGTTTACTTAGTACACTACGGACTTACTACAAAAGCCGCAATCGTAAAAACAAGACCAGTTTGTTACGCCAAAGTACAACTTAAGGTTTTGTCCCAAAGCTGGCAAGTAATTCTTAAAGAGCAAATTATTTGTCACCAAAAACCGTACTCAACTAAAATGCAACACTATACAAAGAATTAAAACATACCTGAACATGCTCTCATTCTTATGGTATTTAACACGGCAGGCAATGTGCTGAGGGATGCTGTAAACACGTGCCTTCCGTCGGAAGCAATTTTTATTAATTCCGTCTTCTTAACTTGTGTGCCGATACCAACCACGAATATTTCAACTCGGTATCTCCTCAAAGAACGTGCGGCTCTCTGCACACGATCTCTTGAACGCGCACTTGCAAACACCACGAGAACGCGCTTGCGTCCACACTGGCGCTTCCGTCTAAAAAGGTACCTACGAGCAGAGTACAGTGCTCGTCCAATCCTCAGAGATCCTCTTCGGAGTCGGATTCTTCGTAGCACTGACAGTATTCTAGAAACCTTAAAAAACCGGTTGAACCTGAACAAAACCCTGGGTCTTGAGGCATATGCTAACATTCCTACGCGAGTGTTTTGCCGGGAGATGCGTAGAGAATACAGAAGCCTGGCGATGTAACGTATCAGGAATTTGAATGTACTTCGTCCAGTTCGTCTAATATTATAGGAATTGTCAATCAGGAAACCGAGATCCAAGTTCGCTTGGCATGCTGAAAAGAAACACAACACGGCAAAATCATATAATCTCGAATAATTCTTGGTCACGTGTCACATTTAAGGAAAAGAACCGAAGTTTTCCAGTCAACTCAACTAAGAAGCCTGAGAATGAAAAAAGAAAAACAAACAAACAAAAGAACATGAAAACACCCTAAGCACAGGCTGAAGGTCAGTTAAGAACATTCTTTTCCGTCAGTTTCGACTTGAGTAATATGAAGAGATAACTGTAAGAATGCAGTAAATGTTCACTGAACATTAGCTGGAATGCACGTCCTGTATACATAATAGGAGGCTTAAGCAAAGGCGATTTTGAGCGACACTCGTCAACCGGAAGTGGACTTTTTGCATTCTTGAGCAGTGGTTTTGCCCGAACCTTCTGGCAAATCGTCTCTAAAAGAGTAAAGAAACTTAACAAACCAAATTTGTTAGCGTCGAGGTATATACAGAGAGGAGAAGTCGTTACGTCACGTTGCCATAGAAGCAAAATTTCCAGATGATAACAAATCAAAACGTCGCTTAAAACGTCGTTTCTAACTCCATCGATCTTATTCAATTTCATTCAATTTGTCAAATGTTGGCGAAATGTTCTGGGTTGAATCCGGAAGGACCGTATCTTGGTTTAGAAAAAGAAAGAAAATTTTTTGTGTTGTGCTCACCTACTCGATAAAGCGGGCGAGTGAAATTAGGAAGTTTCATGTCGCATTCGTGCAACAACGGCTAAGAAATGTACAAAAAAGCGTGATGCATGTGCAAAGTTGTTCTCTTTCCAATTTAAACCTATTGCTTTTTTGCTGTTGCAAAAGCTCCCCATTGTTGTGGTCCAGAAATTTTGCTACCATAGTAAGGTGACGTCACACTTCTCCTCTCTATTGAAAGAGAACAGGCCTCACTTCGGTTGGCATGCGTGCCGCTCAAGAACGCCTTTGCTTAAGTTCCTTAATATTATTAAAAAAAAAACATTTAACTTGTTAAAAGTTTAAAGAGATATGAAGTTAAAGTCCCTCCTAAATTAAGAGCAAAAATAAGACGTTTTATAGAAAAATATTGGGAATGCATCTAGTGACTTACGTCTTGGTGGCGTTGGCTTGGTTGGGGTGGGACGTGTTGTAGGTGTAGTTATAACCTCTGTTAAAGAGAAAGAAAGAAAGTGACAGTGTTCATATTCAAACGATATCAATAACATTTCCTCTACTTACCCTGGGCAACGGTATTTTATTTATCGCAAACGCTAATGAGGCCGAGAAAACGACAGAGGCAAATAAATCAAATTCACCATTTCCACATAGACTATAATGCACCTCGTTTTACACCCCAAAATTTTGCAGAAACCATTGTTCCCAATTTCTTCTGGGTATTACAGTCGTCCCAAGAGAAATCGAAGACAATAGTTATGCAAAATTTTGGGGGTAAACAAGGTGCATTTTGGTCTATGTGGAAATGGTGAATAAAAATAACAAGGTTAAGAATCCCACCAGGCCGAAGGCAAACCAGTCGGCTTTTTAACAAGTGTGGTCGAGTATTTGAACTCGGGACTACCGTGAACAAATCCAGCAAGCGGTCAGGGCGGGACTTGAACTCTGGGCTTCCGGATTACAAGTCCAGCGCTCTAACAACTCGGCCACGCTGCCTCATCTAAGTAAACTGGTAACGGGAAATTTTTAATTACGGCACAAAAGAAAGGAAGTTCTTTCAAAAACGTGGATTAGCTTAACAGGCAGTCACCTAAATTATACGGTCAGTATGTATATTAGGTCTCTCAATATGTAACCGACTAGTTTTACAGCTTACTATCTTTTACACTACTCAGTGGTCATAAATTGTTTATCTTCACGGTATGAATAGTTTTTTTTGGTTATCTCGTCGTTTATCAACGTTTACTTTCATTTGGTAGATCGGTTACACTTTCGTTTGGTATATCGGTTAGACTGACTTTAGGCTACACAGAGAGAAAAATTAATTGTCGCTTACTTGTCTGGAGACAAAGTCTTTTCGCAGCTTGAATCTGTGTCGGTTGAAGTGGAACGTCGTATATTTGCACGCAGGTGATTCGTCCGCGGAAATAACGCTTATCACCGATCCGGGCTCCCATTCGAACAGGGTAGTTTGTTGCTAGTCGGAACCGGCCGATCCTTTTCCGAGCAACCTCTCGGTAATCAATATACAATCGGGCAAAGCCCGAACGCTGATCATAGGTAGCTGTTATGAAATTCCAGGCCTTTGGTTTAATAAGGTTTGTTGTTATTGGTGCTGTAAACCTCCGTGTTCGTGTCACGAAACGGACAAGCAATACGCGTCGACGGACCATCCATACGTGAACGCCAAAACCAACAGGCTTGTAATTGAAAATAGGACCAACGGGTCCATCTGGATTTATCCAAGCTAGGATTGATATAGAGTTACGGGCATCCAGTCGGCCTTTGTTGGGAAATTCTATATAGCTGTCTGATCGACCTTTGAACCTCAATGAGCCTCCAGGCCTTCCGTCTGGACCCAAGCCTGGCCGCACATTTGCCATGCGCCCCGGTGGGTTTTTACTCCTGCTGACGTCACGAGTGTGGTAACGAACATTTAAAGGATAGAAGGCCATAGCGGGTGGTAATCCTACAGTAACGAAAATAGTCATTAATTCATACAGAGCAAACAAAGGAAATCACTACTCTGAACAAGATTTGAAAGTCGGATACTCATTACCATATTTTTTTTCGAACTGCATTTTAGGATTTCTTCAAAAGTTATAATTCATCATTTGAGAACCTACATCAGAGTTGGCAGTGATTCATCCCATTCCCAGGTATTGAGAAGTCCCTCTAAAAAAAAACCGGGACTGTGCCTCGTTTGTTCTTACCGCTTCTTGGATCACGGAAGGAAAACGCGTTTGACATATTCCCTGAATTATTGACATTGCACTCGCTACCTATCTTCTCATTGGCTCTCTGTTTAGGTTAGTGTTATCAGCCTCGGACTTATGAACCAAGCAGTCAATGATGACTCTCTTTAAGAATACCCTTTTAGATTGCTTATGTTTTTCACTAATTAGGGGCTTAATAACAGAGCACAGCATAATGCTTACTTGTGGAAGGTTTCAATGGTGTAATTGGACCTAAGGGAAAAACAAAAAAAGAAGACAAGATAATGCTTTACAGGGTATTGTTGCAGGGGCATAATTTTGATAAATGTATGTCTCTGCTACAAGCTAGGAAATACCAAAAGGGAGATGGGAAAAGCCTTGTCAGTATCATTAAAGCCCTACCATACCATCACCAAACAATTATATTTCAATACAATTCAATAGCATACGACAGTGTCTCCATGCCTATCATCTTCAAGACAAACCCAGTGATAATTGGCCTAGGAGAGTAGTAACTTCAGCTTAAGCTGTCATCGGATATCAAAAGGAGTGACGTTAAAGTATGAGTAAATATCAGTAACGAGATATACGAGCAGAAAGCTTATTATTGTAATCATGTGAATTACCTGGTTGATTACAAAGATTCTTGACCTTCTTTATCTGAGGCCCTGTCATAGCCACGGAATAAACCTGCATACAAGCAATTCTTCCACGGAAGTTTGTACCCATGTAAGCAGAGCCTTTGGTAGCAAGCCTGATACGTTTGATATTCTGCGATAAAATCGGTCGTGAATTTAGCCAAAGTGTAGCTATCCCAGTCCGCTGATTGTACGTTGCACCCACGTAATTCCAGCGTCGTGGGCGAAGACGTCGTTTTATCAACGCCCGAGTGCGCTGCGTATTCCTACGGATAAAACGAACATACAGTGTATCCGACCGGACAACCCAGAATTTTACCCCACGGAAGAACTCAAAGATAGGTCCAGGTCCAAGGGGTAAGACCCACGCTAGAAGACTAATGGATTTTTTAGTGTCTAATCTGCCCCTGTTAGGGAATCGGATGTAGCTGTTACGACGACCAAGAAACTCTGTGGATTCGCGCGGCTGTCCATACGGCCCAGGGGCGTACCGTATATTGTAGCTTCGACCAGGAATGTTTTTCCCTGGGCTGATGTCGCGGGCTCGAGTCTTCTGGTCGAGGGCGTATATTGCAATAGGTTGAGGAAACCCTGCAAACACAGAAGGCCATAAGAAAAAATAGAAAAAACTAGCAAAGAACCGTTTGAAACATTGAAGCCTCAGTTTTTTCTTTTGATTTAATCTCCTGCATCTTCTAAAAGTTAGGAGTTTGTTGTGGAGGCCAGACGCCTGTATGATATTAAACATGAGCATCATTTAAAACTTAGCTTTGATTTTGATTTACTTTAATCACTATTCTTTTGTTTCATAACCAAAATGTCATAGATAAAAGAAAAAAAGATCAACCTGGCGAGAGAGATTTGCACCTAGACAGCACGTCAACATCGTTTGAGCGGCGAAAAACTGACTTCTAGAAAGTGTAATTTGCCATAAATCATTTTATATGTTTCTATTTTATCATTTCGATACTGCAAACTAAGTTCCAGCCAACAAACTTACTTGGTGCTTTGGGAGTCGGCGCCTTGGTTGGTTTGGAGGTGGGCCGTGTCGTGATTTGCGCTAAAGTAAGAATAGATAATTAGTTAAGTACGTTTACAAAAGACAAATACAATAACAAAACGAAGGGAAAAGAAATAAACAACAACAACATCAGCAACAAAACTGAAATTTAGGCATGTAATTCAGCAGTTCAGCTTATTCTTTAAAGGGAAGAGTCTCTCAGACAAATGCAGTGATTTTAAGTTATGCCAAACAACCTGTAGAATTATTCTCTGGTGGAGAAAACAAGCCTACAAGAGTATGCCTTTTCTCGTGTTTTCCTAGTTACAGTCTGCTTCCCTCTAGCGGTCCAAAGCCATGTTGTTATGCACAGGAGGTCAAGTTCCGACGAAAACGTTCAGTTAACCATGCAAAACAACTCCCAATATCACAGTGGACTCTCTTGCAAATATAAATAAAGGGACACAGAACAGCAGCTCGTGTCACATGGTACACAATCTTAAAGGCATGTAATGCTGCACGACGTTAGCAACCTGTACCCGCCTGGAGCTATGAGCTTTTTTTCTAAATGAGTGAAGAACTGGGTAGAATATGCGGCCACAAAGCTTCTTGGGATCTTTTGGAGGGACACTGCACGAAGATCAACAAATCATGGTGCACTAAAGGTGCTGTGTTCCAAACTGCAGTAATAGTTTCAGAAATACATTTTTTTTACTTTACAAAATTGTTTAAGAACCTGAGGTAAAAAGTTTGTCTTCTTTAGTCAGAATGAACCCTGAGAGAATCGAACAGGTGGCTTGCTCTGCTGTCTGCCATGTTTTTGCTGTCCCTCAAAACGATCTCTACAGTCATAAGTCGTACTAGTTCTCCGCTCGTTAAGAACATGGCCAATTAAAGGTTTCTTTTTCAGGTGCGGGAGTTGAGTTCATCAAGTGTATAAAAAAAATACAACTACTGCTCTAACGAATACCTTTACAAGCTTTCTTGGTTATACTCTTGACAGCACCGTTTATCGTCTTGAAAGTCACCATGTAAATGTGACGAGGGCCAGTCGCTATTGTACTAAGTTCACTATTTCGTACTCGTGTACCAACACCTACGGCAAAGACTTCAATACCCGCTCGGTGTATCTGGAGGGTGGGTACTCTTATGCTATCAGCGGATTGTCCAGTGGTGACCACAATTAATACCCTCTTTTTCCTACTGCGTCTGAAGAGTCGATTAAGAGCAAGCTGCAACGCTCTTCCGGTGCGTCTAGAACCTCGCCTGGAACGCAGTCTTCTGGCAGCGCGATCAACGCTGCGTAAACTGGTATAGCGGCTAAGTCCGAATGCCATTCGCGGTCTTGAGCCATAAACGATGACTCCTACTCGAGTTCGTCTCGGCGAGATCGAAAATGATTGCAAAAGAAGACGGACAAACTGTTTGATTCTTCTGAAGCGCAGTCTAGCCTGTCTTCCAGAGGCGTCCAATACAAAACCAATGTCAATTGATAAGCGACAAACTGGTCACAAAATAGAAGTACGATTGATAAGTAAATGCAGGCCAGAAAAGTCACGATATCTGCCTTCTTAGCGGTTGATAAGCGAATGAAAAACATCTCAAATGTGGCAAGTGGCCTAGATGGCTCATGCTTTGGCCAGTTTACCTCACTGTCAATCTTACATCCTCATTATACCTATCGTTTTAAGGGAGGATGATAACATAAAGTGTCAAACTAAATAAAAGCTTGCCCCAGGTATCACTGTTGTCGTTTGTATTTTGAACGATTTTTAGAGGAAACGTACTGAAATAAACAATTGATGGGTGACTGCGCATTAGCAATTATTGAATTCGGCTTTCGTATTATCTGAAGAATTATGGAGATCGAGGCGGATAACAGCCTCCTCGATTTCCATAATTATTCAGATGATACGAAAGCCGAATTCAATAATTGTTTTATTATTCATTCAAAATAATTCCTGGTTTAAAAACAAGCTAAAATATGCTTTCCTCCATCGATGTTAATGTCATTTTCAAATACATGTTTATCGGCAAGTTTAGGAGATAAAGGGTTGTTCAGTACTGCAAATGTTCTCCAAATAGCACAAGTTGTCCGTCGAGTTGTCTTCTTGCTGTTCGTGCTTTGTTTTAGCCAATAGCTTGCCTATTTCTTCCTCGTGAAACGAGTGAAATGTTCCGCCATTTTGTACCCACTACCAAAACAACTCAACCTCGTCCCCAGGTCTTCTCGGTTGACTGTTCAATAATCTGGTAATTTTGCTGTACAACTGATGTCATTTTTCACATATTACAGAATTCTTCCAAATTTGGTCGACAGTAGCTGGTTATGATGAGTTATGCGTCGGATTTTAGCCAATCAGAAACGGAGAAATATTTTGAAGGAGAAATAATATTACTTAATTGTGTCAAGAACAAAATGCTTGAATCTGATTACTTTTTAACAGCCCATATTTATAGCTTAATTTTGCTATTGTAACTTCAAAACTGTCCGGTTACCAAGAGCTTGTTATCAGACAGGTCAAATCGGACAGTTAAAGAACCAATGAAAATCAAGTAGCAAATGGCACTAGCCAATGAAATTTAACTACATAGCATATGATAACCAACCATTACCAATAAACAATGGTATCGTTTATTACTTACCAGGTGCACGAGTCGGCCTGGTCGCTATGGAAACAAAAAGCAGCCAAGCATTTATGAAATGAAGACAAAATAAAATCTCTAAGACTATCCAGGAAATTAGGATAATTAATCAGCTGAGATCACCGCGCGCCTTTACTGGCCCAATTGGATGAAGAAGAATTAGCCGCAGAAAATTGCTTTTCCCATAATGAACGTAACCATGACTGATATTTCCCTGTAATCCCGATTATAGAGGTGAAAGGTTTATCCATTTATAGAAAATCAGGGCCTGGATTGGGCATGGATAGAAACAAATTTGTTCCAGTGGGAGAAAGCTTTACGGACACCTTGTTACTAAGAAGAGTTTTCCTTTTCCCTGGGAAACGTAAGACCTCACATTTTCTCCAAATTCAACCCACTTAATACGGACACCCCGTCAATACGGACACTTTCTATGGCCCCCTTAGTGTCCGTATTAACGGGATTTGACTGTATCTTGGTTTACAAGGCAAGTCACGCGCATTAAGCCGGCACTTTTGGTTAAGCTCCGGATTGTCCTTTGAACAAGAAAGTTTGAATAAGAAATAGCACAAATTGACTTAGTCAAGCCACGTTAAGCATACTGCTATAGAATCTATTAATGAACTGATTATTTGAAACATGAATCCGTCAGTCGTTGCCACAACTAAAGTCAGTGTAGTGTTGACTTAAATCTGTATTCCTGAATGCATAATGAGCAGCAAGTGTTTGACTACAACAATCAAGTATTCGGTCAAATTGGAAAATCTTTGAATGGAAAAAATTGCCATGAAGAAAGTTAAATCAAATTCAGGAAAACTGACGAGCTTACAGAAATTTGATGGATACCTCGCGAGTTAATTTACTGCTCATGAAGCATGCAGGAATGCACAGAGGAATGAATAGAATTTTGAGGGGGATACGCTTGACCTGGCTTGACTGTAATTATAAAGAAACACTCACGTGGAACAAAAGGCATGCAAACCCTGTGCTTAAGAGCGGCTAATACAGTGTTCAGTTTTCTGAATCCGGCTGTCATCACATGCGATGGACTTGATGCCATCTGTTGAAGTTGGAGTCTTCTGAACTTGTTACCAATCCCTAAGGAGAAAAGTTCAATTCCTTTGCGCTTCAAACTCCTGGCTGGTTGGACAACATTATCCTGTGAGATGCCGTCGGTCAGAATGACAAGAACGGGCTTTCTTCCTCTTATTCTCCCACGCGAGAAAAGGAACCTGGGGACAGCAAAATATATACATACAGTAGAATCCCGATTTTTCAAGCCCTTTACAGTCTTTTTTTCAAACCACCCAATGAGTCGAACCTTTCCCAAGGTGGTTCGAAAAATCGGGATTCCACGGTAAATTATAACAGCTCCTGATTGAATTTTAGACTTCTCACCCTTTTCCTTCTGGTATGTGTTGGAAGTTTAACCTGATTCAAGAGCTTCCGCTAATTAAATCTAAACATGCGCGTTTATATTGTCCAACACGCGTAATCTAATTCTGAGTTGGGACGTGCATTCATCCCTGCTTAACAATAGAGAATAGGTGAGCTTCATCAGTGCAGCATAAGAACCTCGACACGCAAACAGCCAAAACAGAAATAAGGGTCATAACTTAAGGCTATGTCCACACGAATTCGGATAAATTTTAAACTGCATACTATTTTTCCACAAATCAGCCAGTTCTTTCCAAACGAGACCGGTGAATCCGGACACCGAAACCGCATTTCGCCCCCTTTAAGGGAATCCAAGACAGTCCTGGAATCCGGATTCCAGGCTGTGGATTCCGGATTCCAGGATCTGGATTCTAGTCTCTGTCAGTGGAACTTGGATTCTGGATTCCAATTGTTAGTGGGATTCTGGACTCCTTGAGCTGTATTCCGGATTCCAAAACCCAGGATTTCGGATTCCATAAACAAAAATTTACCGGATTCCAGAATTCGGATTCCATTACATGGGACGACGCCGCATTGTTTTGAAACCGCTCTTCAGAGCGGCGACCACATGAATCCGGATAAAAAATAGGCGACTTAAGAAATGTCTGGATTCCAGTGGACATGGCCTTGCGTAGTTATCAAGCCAGCCCTTCAGGAATTTTCTTTCTTGTGCAAATAAGGGCTTTTGTTATTAACCCTCACTGGAATTTCCAAATTCAAATATAAAAGTAAAAACGAAATGAATTCTGGTTCTGGTGACAAAAAGATGTCATCCTGCAATTGGCCTCTTTCTTATTATTCAAAACAGTTAGGTGAGAGATCAGGAACTAGGAAAACACGTGAGAAATATTCTTCTGTTTGACTGTCATGCCTGTAGACGTTAGAATACTGAGCATCCGAAAATTCTTCGATTATGCGTTACAACGCAATTCAAGCCTAAATTCTTCTTCATAGCTGTGTATTAATGAACGTTCTCTATTTTTCATTTCTTTTTCCCACAGGTCGCCCTGACCATCCATAACTAAACTTCACTTTTAAAAATTCATACCTTGAGACAAATCTCAACGCTCGACCAATCCTAGTTCCTCCATACGGGTACCTTATACGATCAACTGCCCTGATCACGCTTGTCTTCGAGTAGTAACGGTTGAATGGAAAGATGGGATATGGCCGAGATGAGAATACCACAACACCGACACGCGTTTGTCTTGGGGAAATTGGAAAAAAGCTGATGAGCGTTTTGACAAAGTCAAGGACGCGAGTAAAATGCTTTCGTATACTTCCCGATCCATCAATGAGGAAGCCCAGATCGACTCGTGATCGACAAACTGAAAATAAAGAAGACCGCTGTTATATCCAAGGGAAAACCTCACTTATATAAAGTGTATTTAGAGTCTGTGATTTTAAATATAATAGCAAGCTACTTTCCCCTGTCCCCGTCTAGGCCACTACGCATTTTTAGCAATTATCGAACGAGGCTGAGTAGGATGTGAAGAATCATGCATATCTAGGAGGATGTTGTTGAAAAGATGGCGTATTGCTTAGGAGCCGTGGTGGTCATACATAAGGGTGTGACTTTACCCTTCTTGGTACTTTTCATCCTAAACAAGAAGAGAACAAATTAAAATACACACGCTGTGCATCTTACCTGGAGGCTTTGTTGGGCTTGGTGATGGGATGGGAGGCGCAGGCGTTGGAACTAAAGTGAAATAAAACAGAAATCACGTAAAATACAGAGAGAATTGACCTGCTGAAGAAGTACAGGCTTTACCGAGGGAGCGCGAGCATATAAATTCGCTGGTGTCATGTTGGAGATGTGTGGATGGTCGAATGGGTCGAGGGACAGGGTCGGAGGACGAAGAAGATTACAACTACAAAAATATTTCTTCTTTCAATACGAAAGTTAGTGACTACACTCAGGAACTTAGGAGTTCGCCACTCCAAAAATTCGCCTGCTTTTCAGCTCATATTCTGATCCACAGGAAAAAAAAAATCGATTTTTTTGCATTGTATTCAAAGCGAGTGTTTGCCAAAAAATACTGGTACGAACCTGCTCGGAAGCATATTTTCGTTTTGCTGCGAATTTGTACACCATTCATCGCGAAGTTGTAAATCTGCAAGCAAGAGATCTTCCCACGGAACCTACGTCTATCGCCAGGCTTGCGTCCAATCACAATCGGGTAATTAGTTGCCAAACCAAGACGGAAGCGTCCAATCTTCCGTTGGATTATGGGTAGGCTGCTAAGCCACAAAGTGGCTAAACCTGTCCGGTGGTCGTATGTAGCAGCGACGTAGTTCCATTGACGTGGCTTGATCTTTTTGTACAGCGGCCTCACAGATTTACCAGAACGAGGAACGAACCGGGCGTAGAGTCTAAATGATTTCACTATCCAAACATGAACACCCCAGCCATTTGGTTTGAAATGAATTAATGGTCCAGGACTCTCGGGGTAAACCCAGAAAATAATTGTTATTGAATACCTCGTATCTAGGCAGCCGTTGTTGGGGATAAGGACGTAGCTAGTTCTTATTCCTCTGAAGGAGATGGCGCCTCTAGGGTGGTTGTCAGGGCCACGTGAATAGAACACACCAACAAATCTCGCTGGTGGATTGACGAAACTACTGACGTCACGGTTTTTGGACGCGCTGGTAAACTGGTAAACGGCGACGGCGCCACGGCGAATAACTAAAAACAAATAACAATATTTGAGCAACATTTCAATGAATATCTAGAACATTGACGCGAGAAAGCTGCACATAAAAGTTCAATAGCAGCAGTTCTAGATTGTAGATATCAGAGCATGGACTCAATTTGAAAAAAAAAACTGAAGGTGGAGCGACATTCACAGAGGAAGCAGAGTGGCAGGCGTTTGGAGCTCTGGAATTTTAAACCGAAGGCCCCAATTTCAATCCTTGCCTTAAAAGCGTGCTGGATTTGTTCTCAGTAGCCCGAGTTCACCCCCTTGGCTCGTCGGTCACCCTTGTAAATAACCGACTGGTTTGCCTCAGGGTAAGTTGTGATTCTTAACCCCTTGGGCCAGAATAATAACTATTTGTTTGGCAGTAATTGTGTTACCCCTATAAAATCATTTTTTTTTAGTTTTGGTGCCTTTAGAATGTAGTATGCCCTTTATGAAACCAACGGATTACGTTAATGTGTACTAATTTACAAGAGAAAATGAGTCATCAGCCAAGGTAATGAATTTGATTCTGTCCTCGTGTAAAGCTTTGAATCAAGTTGAATTAACTTGAGGTCACTTTAAATATCCAGAGCCCTTACCTGGGGAGTAGCAAATCCTGTCCTTGAGCGTTCGCACTATAGTATAAAGTTGTGTAAATCCGACAACAAACACGTGATGCCTGTCAGTGGTTAACGTTTGAAGGGTTCTACCACTTACACGTCCCAGCCCAACCACAAAACACTCGACGCCAGCTCCCTGAAGCGCCATCGCCGGTCTCCGCACTCTATCGATTGACTGCCCAGCGGTTAGCACGATTAAGATTCTTCGTCTTCCACACTGCGGTTTTCCTCTAAACAGGTAGCGTTTGGCATAATACAAAGCTCTACCCAATCGTCTTCTTCCTCTGAGAGACCGAATTCGGCGAATCGCACTATAAATACGCCCTAGTGTGTACGACCTAGAGAAATCAAAGATTGGACGAGCACGTGACGCGTACGTTACTACACCGATGCGTGTTGCTCTTCGAGAGATTGTAAATCGACGAACAGTTTCCCGCACAAAGTTGATAACCTGCTGGAGATTTCGCCTTCTGGAGCGGGCGACTTTAGTGGTGGTGTCGATAAGGAACCCGAGATCAATACGAGCTCGGCAAACTGTTAAAAATAGAAAAATGAAACAAAGAGTAGTGTAAGATAAATGAATAGATTAATCAGATATTTAATTATATCACGGAATGATATGATTCTAAAAATTGCGGGGAAGAGTAACGACAATAGAACGAACACAACTACTCGATAAATGTGATTGGTACCGAAATTACAGAAAAGATCTAAACAATGTTGGCCGGCATTTTGATTACAACAGGTAGAAGGAAAAAATTAATGGAACAGAATAAAACTTACTCCTTGGAGCAGGCGTTGGCCGCTGGGTGGGTGTCGGAGTAACAATGGGTGGCCCTGCGAAGGAAAAGAAAAGCAATAGGCAGGGGCTTGTAAACTTCATGGGTCAAGTAGAGCTGAAATTCTAGGAAAAACTACTAAATATCAAGATTTTTGAGGTGTAAGCACCGAAATATGTCTGTTCTGGTTAAGATAGGGAAACTGTTTCTTTAACGGGGCAGGTAAAGCATTCGTTTTACTTATTCTACATTGTTGACAGTAACAGGACAAATTTAAAAACTACGATTGCATGGGAGGGCCGCAAGTACCAGTCGTCATTTTGTTCGATTAGGCATCTAAACAAGTACAATAACGTCTCCTTCAAGTACCTATTTTGTAACAGCAGCAGCAACACTTACAGAAGTTGTTAATCTTTACCTTTAAGGAAACACTTTTTCTTAGCTTCGTTGATCTGCTTTCCAGACAGTGCCTCACTGTACAACTGAAGACAAAATAAGCGCCCCCGGAAGTAGTTCTTATTGCCTCTTTGGCTTCCAAGCCTGATAGACCTCCTGATATCTAACTGTAGCCGTCCTATTCTCCTTCTTGCGACAACTTTTAAATTTACCCTGATCGTCATGGTTTGTCGTCTCTCGCTGTATGTAACGCCAACATAGTTCCAAGCCTTGTATTTCATGAAACGTCCACGCGTTCGTACCGTGATTACTCTCCTGCGCCTGCGCTGTACTATCACTACTTGGAGAACTCTTCTACTGATCATGCGAAGTTGGAACCCTTTACGATTAGGGTTGTAATTCAGTATGGTGCCAAATCTGCCCTCGTTATACACCCATGTGAGAACAGTAATGGAGTATCGCGCGTTTAGTCGTCCCGTGTTCGGAATCTCTACGTAGCTGTTTCGTCGTCCATAAAACTGAACGGAGCCGTCCCGACGACCATCAGGGCCTTTGTTGTATCTAACTCCGATAAGTCTTGCACTGGGATTTCGACTTCGGCTAATGTCTCGTCCACCTCTTCTCCTGTCCAGCGGATACACCGCCAGAGTTCTGGGCAGTTTAACTATGAAAACACAAACCAAACTTAGATTAAGAATGGTGATAAATATTAAGCTCGGTGAAGAAATGAGAAATGAGGTGATCAACATGTCACAAGCATAGAATGGGACAAAGAAAAAATCTGAGTCCCCGACAGGAATTGAACCCATGACCTTCCGTACACCGGTCGCATGCTCTAACCACTAAGCTACGAGGGACTAGCGCTGCTTATGAAACGCTACTTTGTCAGATCATGGTAAACAAAAACGTACATTGTTCAATACGATTTAGGCTACAATTCAGCAGTTTTTACGCAATTACTTTACAGAGAACTGCTAAATAATGCCGATGGACCAGTTTAAACTAATGGTCGTAAAAAACTGAAGTATATTTTCTGAGCAATCTTGGAAGAATCAATCAATCAATCAATCAATCAGTCGTTCAGTCAATAATCAACCAATCAATTAACCAACCAATCAACAAACCAACCAACCAAGCAACCAATAAATCAATCAGTCAATTAGTCGTTCAATCAATCAATCAATCAATCAATCAATCAATCAATCAACCAACTAATCAGTCGTTCAAGCAACCAGTAAGTCAATCAATCTACGTTTTTTGGCCAAACACGAGGAGCAGCATTGAGCAGTGGGCAACCTTTACACAGAACAGACTGACAACGGTAATCTGCTCCAATAATACGGGGAGATTATATTGTGTCATTGAATTAAAAGTTAAAGCAATAAAGTGACTCACCCCTTGGTTTCGTTGGTTGTGTAACTGGGCGAACTGTAGGAACTGAAAAGTAAGTGCACCAAAATTAAGAGGATCCTAGTAAAAAAATAATAAATATGAATTTCGCCCAGAACTTTGTTGGGAACTTAAAACATTCCACTCACCAAGTTTTTGGCAAATTTGATTCTTTAGCTTTAGTATGAGTGTCATCAGTGTGCTGAAGGACGTGGTCATCACGTGGTTCCGGTCTGTTGCAATCATCCTCAGCTGCGGATGCTTAACCTTCTTTCCAAGTCCGATAGCAAAAACTTCAACACCTGTAGCTTTCATACGACTTGCTGCTAAACCAATACGATCCTGTGACAAACCATCTGTTAGTAAGACCAGCACTCGCTTTCGTCCTTGCAGAGAGGAGCCCTTGAAGAGGTAATGACGAGTGAAGTCTAAAGCTTTACCAATTTTAGTTCCTCCTCGAGGGTAACGAACCCTTTCTATTGCCTTGAGAATTTGACCCTTGGACGAATATCGTCCAAATGGAAAGATCGGAATCGTATGAGAGGAGAAGAGCACGAAACCAACTCGTGATTTTCCTCGGGATACTTCAAAGAAGCTGACAACAGACTTGACGAAGTTGAGCATACGAGGAAAGTTTCCTTTTCCTTGGTATTCGATGCTTCCAGAGCCATCGATGAGAAAACCGAGGTCCACAGGTTTTGTGCACACTAAGTAAAACAGTACAGTTAAGAAGAAACAATAATCAATGCATTAATTCTTAACAGTTCAAACTATTTAGTATTTTAGAAAGGTAAATAAATATCCTTTTTAAGCATTTTAGTACCACACGGATTCATTCTTGTTTATTGTACTTATTTCGTTGCTATAAAAGCGATGAATAAGGGCAAAAGAGAACAAGGGAACGAAAGAAGACGAAAACAGCAGGATCATTCACATACATATTGACGTAGGACCGTTATTTTAAGAGTAAAATAGTCTCAGAAAAAATGCCCACGAAAAAGAAAAAAAAATACATAAACTTACTTCCTGGACGACGAGTCGAGGTCGTTACTGGAACTGACAAACACGAGACAAAAGAAAATATGATCATAGTAACGCTTAAAAGCTAAATGCACCACATTAATAAACAAATTCAAAGACTACCATCCCCTCCAGAATTCAGAAAAAAGGGAAAGGTTAAAGGAATCAATGTACCACCTTTTTTAAGGACATGCCAGTAGTGAATCCCTAGATTAGACATTAGTAGATACCTATTGGTAGTTTTCATGACGCAAGCATGGAATTTTTAGTCACGAAAGTCTTAGTGGGATAAAATTCATTTCCGGCACTACGATTTGTTGAAAAGTCTTCAAGTCTATTGGAAAAGCAAGAAAGACAAACAGTTTTAATCTATTAGAAAAAAAACCTACAATTTTTCCCAAGCCTTGCGTTAACCTCTCAAATAACTAGTTGTTTTTCACACACCACGTTTTCAAAAAAAAAAAATTGCAAGCACTCAAATTGAGCCTAGTGACTAGTTGTCTGTTTCATCTTCTCTTGATCATACATCATCTGTCAACAAAAGAACATGAAATTGCTGTAACAAGGTTTGATAAAACACAAAATAGTACTCACCAGGTGGAGTTGGCTTAATAACTAAATGGAAAAGAAAAAGAAATGGTCAGTGAATTGAATAGATTATGGGTATTTATGGACAAAATAGAAGTTAAATGAGGCAGCAAAAATATTGTTAAACCTGACCAAAAAAGTGCTTCTTCCAAACATTGTCAGAAGACAACGTAGAATCGAAAAAAAAAAAGACTGGTTTCTTTAACTAGCCCCTTAATAGTCTCCCTCTTCAACAGATATAATCAAATCGACTTACTCTTTTTGAAGCACCTCTTCCGCGCCCCACGAATCTGCTTTGCTGTCAAAGCGACGCTATACACCTGTAGACAGGCGATTTTTCCGCGGAATGCTCTTCGATCTCCAATTCGAGCACCCATTCTGACTGGATAATTTGTGGCCAAATCAAAGCGACCGATGCTTTGCCGTGCAACGGGCCTGGAGTTGAGCCATAGTGTCGCCACACCAGTGTTGTAATCGTACGTGGTGCCAATGTAATTCCACGCGCGATAACGTGGCTTTTTAGAGTAGGTTGCTACTGACGAAGTCCTTCTGCGGGAGCGTCTTACAAAGCGCACAAAAAGAACTCTGGGTCCAACCATCCATAAATGAACACCAAAACCACGCCGGTCGTAGTTAAATATTGGACCTGAACGCCCGTTATGGTACACCCAGGCTAAGATAGTCATGGAACGCCTGGTGTCTAGTTGGCCATTGTTTGGAAACTCGATGTAGCTGTTAGTTGATCCGAAGAAAAGAGTTGATCCGTCAGGACGTCCGTCAGGGCCTGGAGCAGGGCGGACGTTTGATGGTATACCTGGTGGATTGTTCTTAGTGATGTCCTTGGTCTTGGATTCCTTGTCGAGGGGGAAGATGGCCACGAGAAGTGGAAGTTCTGAGGAAGAAACACCGTATGACTTAACATCACGGGCAAGTTTGTAAACAAGTGCACAAGTTAAAGAAGCCCTCCCTTGAAGTCAACGTAATATCAGCCATATATTATCTGTAAAACTTCGAGTTTTTAGAAGAGAATTTCTCCGAAACCATTCGGTGTATTGGGCTAAAATTTTCAGAGATAACTGAAACTGTTATGCCCTTTCAATATTCAGAGTTTATATTTTATTAGCATCACCAGATAGTGATAAGCATATATTAATGACGCAAAAAGTGTAAACAAAGATTCGCCTATACAGTAAGATACTTACCAGGTGGAGGTAGTGTGGGCGGAGGGCCACCTAAGAAGAGAATCAAATTCATTATCGGTTACTAAGTACGACACAGAAAGTTAAAATCGATGTCATGCAAAAGATTATAGTTCAGAAAGAGTATTGGTAAAAAAGTAGAGGGGCACATCATGAAGCCCCTACTAGATTTTTCGGTCCAAAGTTCTAGTCGCGGATTATCCAGTCTTTTCGGGCAGGTCTAAATGTCCACGCAAGGTTGGCAGTCAGGTAACTTCTGCAATTGGAAGCTGGTTGTAACCCTCTGCAGATTTCAATAACCTGAGAAAATTTTGAGCTGTTTTTAGCAAGGAGATCTTCTAAGGTTTGTTCCTTACCTCTAAAACATACATTCCTGCGTTTGCGCATCTGTAGACCATTCAAAGCCACATCAAACACCTGCATACATGCGATACGACCGCGGAAATATGTCCTGGAGCCAGGCTTGTTTCCCATAACAGCAGGATAGTTAGTGGCCAGCCTTAACCCTCTTCCGATGTTTCTTTGTGCAATGGGCGAAGACTCCTGCCATAACGTTGCTAACCCAGTCTTACAGTCGTAACTTGCGCCAATGTAGTTCCACATGCGCGGTCGAAGAGCTTGTCGAGTTCTCAGTACGAAAGCACCTTTTCCAGAGCGCCGTACAAACTTCGCATACAGCGTCCTTCTTCTGATGACCCACAAGCTGACGCCTGAGCCCCGGGGTCTGTAGTTAAATATAGGTCCACCACTCTCAGGATAGACCCACGCTAAAAGAGTGATTGAGTTTCTGGTATCGATACCTCCATGGTTTGGAAAATACGTATAACTCCCACGTTGACCGAGGAAATAAAATGAACCCCTGGGGAAGCCATCTGGTCCGGGAGACAGACGTACTCCTCGAGAACGCCCAGGTTTATTTTTTCTTGGACCAATATCACGACCTTGGGTTCTGCTGTTAAGAGGGTACAAAGCAGCGGCACGTGGTGGTCCTGATAAAACAAAGCTTTTTATTACGAGTCCGGAATCCATAAAATAGCTTTGAATGATCAAATGAAGCTGATCTGCTTTAATGGGAACACAATTATTTATTATTGTCCTAAAACTATTCCTAATTCTTATATTAAATAAAATACATCTTGAACCAACAGGTAACCTATCTAAATTCACACCGTACTTACTTGTTGGCGGTGGAACGGGGGCTACAAAACAAAAAAAGAGAACAGACTTGAGAAAACTGACCATTTTCGTAAGAACTGAAGAATGTTCCATCCTACCTCTTCCAAGTGTTTCTAACTAGTGTTTTGAACACCACGCGAGGATTCAGCGGGGGAGGAGGGCAGGGAGGCGGAGAAGAAATGAAGAGGATAAATGCCAGAAGAAAGTTGGAACGAGATAAGGTGAATGAAAGGGAAAATTATTCTCAATTGGTGAATAATATTTGACTTTTCTCGACATCTTGATACAGATCTAAACAACAACAATAATACTGCTGATAATAACTGTTATTGACTGAACTACTCTCTACTCTTTGCAAAAGACACCAGAACTTACGTTTAGGTGATGGTTTAGCAGGCTCACATACTTTCTCTTTAATAGCTTTCACGACTTTTCCAAGACGGCTAAAACCAGCTGTAAATAGATTAAGACGATTTGAGGCAATAAGTTGCAACTGACGTCTTCTAAAACCAGATCCAACACCCAAGGCAAAGATTTCCACGCCGTCTTTCCTGAGCCGTAAAGCGGGTCGGCGAACACGATCCGCGGAGACACCGTCGGTTATGACAAGCAGAGCTCGTTTACGTCCACGCAGTGATCGCCTGCGGAAAAGTCTTCTTCTGGCCTTACGCAGTGCTCTCCCGATGTACGTACCACGCCGCCGGGGTTGGTGCCTAGTCAAATTTCAGAGTGGACGTAAAAAACTCTACATTATAATACCCCTAACGTAGGTTTAAATCATTTAGTGTTAAGAAACAAATTTCCCAGTTTATATTTTCTTGCTACAGTCAGACAAACCTTAAGCGGCCAATTGCCCTCACAAGTTGTGCTCGAGAACCATATCGATTGAAACCAAACACGACTTGGGATCGAGAATGGAATATCATCAAACCAACCCTAGTTCCTCGCGTAGAAAGCGGAAAGAAGCTAACCAGAGATTTCAAGAAATCAATGACCTTTCTGAAGTTCTTTCGCATTATACTTCTGGAGACATCGACAAGTATTCCAAGGTCCACGCGAGATTTGCAGACTGGAATCAAAAACAAGCAGAAAGTTATGGCCCAGTATAAGTCACGGCTTTAGCATATACATGTACTTTCCTATAAACATTTTTAAAGAGGATTAAAGAATAATCACCTGGTACTGGCGTTGGTGGGCGTGTAGGAACTGGAGGGAAAACAAAACCAACGTTAACACCGTTAGTTTTCATGGAGAAAGGGCATAAAATCCTAGGCTATTCATAATCCCCCATTTCCCTGGTGATTGTCGAGAGAGATCCCTGAGTTCAAAAAATCGCCATCATAATTTCATCTGCTGTTCGAACTCTGGGAAGAGAGCAAGGGGACTGGGAGTGAAAGAAAGTAAGAATATTTTTCTTGATTCCTCGCCCCAACCATAACGGGTAATTTGTACTCCGCCCAATTTTCGCTCGCCACAAGAATCAAGGGATTGTGCAATAATTATCAGGAGGGGGACTCTGAAAAAAGAGCCTGGCATGAAGTAATATTACGGAGCGCCCCCTGCCAACAAAGGCAAGTTAGTTCTGACCGACCCCTAGGTCACTTAAAAATTATGTCTTTACATTTAATAGTAATTTATTTTTGAGGGGACACTAAATCTGTTAGTTACTTTTGTCTTGTAATGGGACACCGCCTACCTGAGATCCTGGATACACCCCTGTGTAGTTACAAATGAGCTAAAATATCATGTAACCAGAATCGTTGATAGCTTTGGTACTAATGCACCCTTCCACGGTTTTTTAAGTTTTGATAAAGGCCAGTAAGCTAATAAATACAACGCTGGAAAGAGCGCCTTAAAATTAGTAAATTTGTCTTTTTTAAAGTTGGTAAGCCAAAAGCGAACGAAACTACTGCCCCACAAAGCCGCCAAATTTTAGGGGGGGGGGGGGCACGACCTTACAATCACCCCACCCCTCACCATACATACCTCTGTAAAATTCATCGACTTTGCTGAGCTGTATCTTCGTCAGTTTTCAACGGATCACTTTCAAACTCGGTAAACTTTACTGATTTTAAGGCGTTTTTTTCAGCCATGCTGAAAAAACCGTGGGTGGGTCTATTATTGTTAGCTCTTTGCTATATTTTGATACGAAATCAGTATTATGGTTTGAGACAGCCTTCCCACAAAAAAAATTAGATACCACTCCCCTCCTTGAAAGATTATCTTACATGCTGCCCCCATCGTTATGCTATGATTTTACATGGTGCCCCCCCTCTGGTTTCAAAGCTCCCCTCCTGAAGATTATTGCACAGTCCCCAAGAGAGAAGCCTTTCGAACTCGGCGATCGACCTCGACAAACATCAGATTGAGGTGAGCAGTCTTACAAGATTTAATAAAACCGATAAATTCTAGGTGCTTACTTGGACGGAAACATTTTTTCTGCAGTGCCACGAGCTGGAGTCGAGTGAGTGCCACGTTAAATATCTGGAAACACGCGAGACGTCCACGAAACACGCGTCGACTTCCTGGCCTCTTACCAATGATTATCGGGTAATTAGTTGCCAGTCCATTTCGGAACTTCCCAACATTTCGTTGTGCTATCGGATAGCTATTGATAAACAAAGTCGCCAAGCCAGTTCTGTGGTTGTAAGTAGCGGCGACATAGTTCCACGTCCTCGGTTTAAGTCCACGACCAACCAGCACTTTCCCTCTAATGCCAGACCTTTTACGCGGCATCAACCGGAAGTAGAGTTGGTACAGACGAGTAATCAATAAATGAACGCCCCATCCTTTCGGGTTGAAATGGATCAAAGGTCCAGGAGATTCGGGGTAAACCCAAAATATCATTGTCAATGAGTAACGCGTGTCAAGGCAGCCGTTGTTGGGAATAACCACATAGCTTTTAATTCGCCTTCCCCTCTGAATTGTTTTCCCAGGAAAGTAATAAGCTCCCTGAGGATGACCATCTGGGCCTGTGATGTAGGAGACGCCTACAAGTCGTGCTGGTGGGTTTTTGTATTGACTTATATCTCTACCTCTCGCTGCACTTGTAAAGGCATAAGTGGCGACCGCTCCTCTGGAGACAATCACTGGTTAAAAAAAGTAGAAACGAAAGTTTTTTTCAGTAAATAATATAAAAATTAACATATATTGATGGTTTGAATAAGAAGGAGCACTGACAGACAACTGTGCAAACTTCTGTTTATGAAAAAAAAAAAAAAAACGTTTTGGAAATCTATCGCCGCTTTAGACCAGTGTCTGGCAGCCTAAAAGTGAAAATTGTTTGTCGAGAGCCTTAATACGCGAAAAAACGAGCTTGTTATGTCGATGCTATCCGAGATATTTCTCTTTAAGCTTTCAGTCTAAAATAGACGATTGCCAGAACTTCTACAACCACAAGCTTTTTTGCAAGGCAATGAAACGAGCAAAAATACATAAAAGTGAAGACAAACAATGAAACCTAATATTTAAAGTAAGGTTCAGTCCAAAACGTGCTGAAGATCGATTCTCCCTTTACCTCTACCCAACAACAACATCAACACTGATCAACAAAACGTTTTATAGAAAAATTTACCTGGGGAATAGCACATCCTGTCTTTGATCATTCTTACGATCGTAATCAATCTGCGGCCACTCACAGAAAACACATGATACCGATCAGTGGCAATCTTCCTAAGATACGTCACACTGACACGCCCCACTCCGACAGCGTATACCTCCACTCCTACAGCATGCAAGATCCTTGCCGGTCTGATAACATTATCACGTGATGTACCAGTAGTCAGGAGAATAAGCACCCTTCTACGACCACACTTGGGTTTACCACTGAAAAGGTAACGTTTAGCATAAAGTAAAGCTTGTGCTGTCCTCCTTCTTCTTCCACGTAGAAGTCTTAACTTTCCGACTTCACGATACACTTGGGCACGGCTGGGGGACCGAGCGAAGCCGAATATAAGTCGTTGTCGAGAGGCGAATAGAGCCAAACCTATTCTTACTTGCGTCCTTTGGACGTCGAATCGTCTCACTGTTTCTTTAACGTATTGAATGATACGCACGAACGTTGCTGTACCAGTTTGCCTAGATCCATCAATGAGAAATCCGAGGTCAATGCGAGCTCTGCAAACTTTAAAGGAAATAAAAAGAATTTCGCATTAAGATCTTTTTCCTATATTGCTGGTTTGTACAAGATGTCGCGGCGGCCATGTCGGTGGTCAAGAACAAAAGCATCTCACTCCTCTGGGAACTAAAGTCATTTTCATATAAATTCTTTGAAATAACTGTATTGACCACCAACATGGCCGCCATGTCAGGTGGTTGCAAACCAAGAATCGATTCTTTGATTCTGGCTTGTCCAACCAATTGGTATATTTGTATTTTGTTTATGATGTTGTAGTTAATTTTAATCGAAGTTAACTTTTGTTCTTCCTTTGTTTTTGTTTTTTTAAAAAAACATACAAGAAGTTGTACCACAATGTAATGCTTAACACTTATGTACTCACTTCGTGGAGGTGGTGTCGGTGCTGGTGTGGGTGGCGCTGGCGTTGGTTTGGGTCCTTTAAAGAACAATTTCTTCGTTTAAATAAGTTTATTTAAAAGACTGAGGACGTCGGAAGTTGGTAAATTTAGACAACAACCTAAGCTGAGAATCTTTTAGTCATTTATCAAGAAATTAAAGATTGGTCAAGTTAATAGTACACAGCCAGGACGTACCACTCCACAGAAGGACTGGTTGTGTCCGTTTGTTTCACACTTTGGAGTTTGTTTCACATAGCCCCCTCTTCTAGACTAGCAGGAGAAACGTATAGGATATAAAAGCCTCATTGTAGGTTATCTGACATTGGAGGCTTCATGCAAGCAAGATGTTTCGTTCTTATCTTAGAATTTCACGCCAAAACTTTATCTCCATCAGGCACATCAAACTAGTGTTGTCTTGTATAGCCCTATCACTTTTAGTCCAGGGTGGTCCTGGTCCACTTAATTGGACCAGTTCCTTAACTATCCTTGCTGCCAAAATTACCTGTGCCTATATGATAATTGCTCTAAACTTTTCATTTAATTATGTTCGAAGTCAGTCGTCATTTTGCTTGCAATCACATGTGTGATTGCAAGTACAAAAAAAGATATCAGTCAGTACATACAGAATAAACAATAGTAGCATTGAGGCAAAATAAACAAATGAAAAATTAAATAAAAGTCCAAATCGCACTTAAAGCCCATACTATTTGAGGTCACCACTATCAAAGTAGTGACTTTGTAAGAATAGTCGACCCTTACGCTTGCTAAAACGAGTAAGATCTCTAAATCAACCGCCGTTACTCAACTGCCTTGAACAAGTTCACTACTATTCAAACTTCAAATTTGACCTCTAACGCATACTTGCACGCAGACTTTACTTCGTAACGTAATCTTGCTCCTGTTGCTATTACAATATGACTAACCCGGTAGAAAACACTTTCTCTTGGCTTCAAAAATTTGCTTTCTGTTCAAAGCAACGCTGTAGAGCTGCAAACAGAATAGCCTTCCCCTCAGGTAACTTCGGCTTCTCTTTATTGCGCCCAATCGAATAGGATAGTTAGTGGATAGCCGCAGTGGACCCAGCCGGCGCCTGACATATGGTCGAGAATTTATCCAAAGCGTGGCGATCCCAGTTCGCTCATCATACGTGGCACCGACATAATTCCATGCGCGGTATTTCAGCCTTCTGCTTCTCAAAGGCTTGGTCATGCGTCCATTGCGGCGCACAAAGCGCGCGAAAAGTTCCCGCCGTGCAGTTGTCCAAAGGTGTACACCATATCCATTTGGATTGTAATTGACAACAGGACCAGCGCGTCCCACGTGGTACAGCCAGATTAAGATAGTCATGGAATACCTCGCGTCGAGGCTCCCTGTGTTGGGAATTTCCACGTAGCTGTTGCGTCTTCCGTAGAACATGCTACAACCGTCTCGACGACCATCAGGGCCCAAGCCGTACCTCACACCTACAACTCTCGCGCTTGGGTTCTTTCTTCGACTTATGTCTCGTCCACCTCTCGCACGATCTAGCGGATATACGGCTAGAGTTCTGGGGAGAGGTACTATGTAAAAAAAAAAAAAGGAAAATAAATAGTACATGAAAACACATGAACGACGGCAGATAGGTTGTGCACTGTAAGCTATAGGCTATGCATTTGAAAAAACTCAAGGAGTCAAAGAAAAGCAACTAACCTCTAGGTGGTAGGGCTGCGAAAAGAAATCGAACAAAAAGTTAACAACTTTCACTATCATAAAACCATAAGGGTTTACAAAATCCTGTTAGTAGCCAAGGCTGTTGTATTAATTGAAAGTGTGACTTGTCATTAAGTGAAGTTTTTCTAACTTGTTTCAGTTAATGATGATTAGGTACCTAAACAGTAATAGCGAGCCGACAAAGAAAGGGGGTTGGGAGGAGAGAATAATACGGAGAATTCATTCTAGTGCCAATTCCTCTATTCTGGGAATGGATCATCAGAGTTGGCTTCCAAACCGTTAACCTCGCTGCAGTCAAAGTAAACATATTCGATTTGACGCAGACACTGAAGTAAACAGTCTTTGTTAAGAAATATTCCAGAGCTGGGCTTTCATCGGAACTCAGCCAGTTGAACTACGTTTAATTTCTTTATATTTCCTTAGTAAAATTCAAACAAAGGTGCTTGACATAGCTTTCTAAGAATGTTTTAGACCAAGAAGTCCATGGGACTTCTCGAATTGCTGAAAAAAGGTAACCAACATTATGATTTCTAAACTTAAGCTTACTTGGTATCCTTTGACAAGCTTTGTTTTTAATTCGCTTGATAACTTGTCCAAGGGATTTAAAGGACACAGTGAATACATGACTACTATCTGTAGCTATTTGTCTCAGCTGAGATATGCTATATCCTCGTCCAATTCCCAGGGCAAAAACCTCACAGCCAGTGGAACGGAGACGGCGTGCAGGCGCGCTCACAGAATCCTGGGATACGCCGTCGGTGAGAACCACAGCCACCCTCTTGCGGCCACGCGCAGCTCTTCCTCTGGAGATAGGAAAATTGAACCCCTTATGAGTTAGTGATGCCACGGGAAACACTTAAAAAATTTTGCTTCCCGGAATTTTCATTCAGTCGCATTGAGATTCCGATTAAAAAAAAGAACAATCAAAAAACACAATTAACTAGTTTACCGAGGGACCAGGGGCACTGTTACCCTTTGAAGTCATAGAAACAGTTATTCTGTGAGCTGCCTTTAACTCAGAATAAGCCAGTGAGAGCGTCCCCTAATTTTGACAAATAAATCCATCCCTCTGTTAGGAACATTTGGGTACTTTTTTGGCACAAATAGATGGAATCACTTCAGGTTATCTATGTCACGGGTCCGTTTATAAACCTTAGCGTTTACAGCTGTCCACATGAGAACAACGTTTATCCTTTTTCCCAATTGGGAGAACGTTTACCGAAATATACGGTAAGGACGGTCATTGATTCATTGTTCAGGTGTGGACGGAGGCCGTAATAGCGCAGGTTGGATGCGTTCACAAACTCAAACGCACTCGGACGAACAAATCTAGGTTTGTATTTCACCTTAAAGTTACTGTAAGGATTTTATAGTCTACCACTACTCCACTCATTCCTGCCTCAACAGCTACATATATTTATACTCAATATCAAGCTAAAGTTATGGACAAATTTTCGCTCGTTGCGTTTTTCTTCATAGGCCAAACAAACTGCTCTTGCCCAGCCCCTCCTCTCATCTCATGGACATCTCAAAAACATTTGCTGTCTGAGTCTTAACATGGCGGTATCAAGGGTGAGGGGGTGGGGTGGAAGAGCAGTAACACATTTGTAAAAGGATAGCAATGCTTTTTCTTTTTCAAACTTCAGTTGTAAAACACAGATAACTCACAGTACAGTAAAAACCCTCGTATAAGAACCTGTTAGGCTAAGATTACCCATTTAGACCCCTTTCACATAAGAACCTGTTTTAGACTACAATTTTGAAACAGGTTCCTATTTTTAGAAGTTGAGTACTATGTTTGGCCCAGTAGAAACACACCATGTTTTAATGTTGTTGTTGTTCTGTTTAACTTGCATAGCTTTGTATAAACTTCATAAATGGCTTTAACATGCTTGGATTAAAGGGATTTTTATAACATATTATGCATGCAACACCAAAAATAGGCCCAAATAGGCCACACCCACTAATGACAAACACCCTATTTATTTTTAAGAATAAGAACCTGTTTAAGAATCTGAGTAACCTAATTTTCCAGTAAGCACTATTTTTAGAAGAACCTTCTTAGCCTAGCTTGGTAAAACTTAGAAACTTGGAAAAACTTCTTATACGCGGGTTTTTATTGTATTGCATCATTACCCTAAGGGTTTTTGTCCACCATTGTAGATATTTTTCAGTAAAGCTTTACCTGTAGAAGTATCGTCGGGCAGATGACAGTGCCTTCCCTATTCGAGTACCCCCACGAGGATATCTCAGGTTATCGATAGCCCTCAAGATAGCTGCCCTGGTGTAATATCGGTTGAAGTTAAAAATTCGTATGGCTCGGCTTGTGTACATCATAACGCCGATATGGGTTTCTCGGCGCGAGATCGGGAAAAAGCTGACCAGTGACTTGACGAAGTTCAGTATTCGGCCGAAGTTTCCACGACCGTAACGTTCGATACTGGAAGATCCGTCGATAAGAAAACTCAAGTCCAAAGGAGCTGCACAAACTACACACGTAAATAAGAAGAACTGTTAACTATACATGACATATACATAAAGCAATAAAAACATACAATAAAATTTCTTTTTCCTTAAATTGTACTGGTATAGAAGTATAGAAAAAACTAAATCAGGAAAGAAAAGCGTATTCGTTTGTTCACCCACGTATCGTCTAGTGAGTTAAGCTCGTTCAAAATACGTACGTGCGGACTAAGGACATATATATAAACTTGATGCCACATTAGCTTAAGCTTTTCCGTAAAAGTACCCAGGTAATCTTGAATAAAAATATGTCGAACGAACCTGGTCGGGGAGTCACTGGCGTCACTGGTGTTGTAGGCTGGGTGGGAACTAAAAAAACAGACCATCAAAGCAGTAACGTTACAATCTGGCATTATCAATTTTGAAAGGAATGTCATGAAATATATTGACTTTGTTTTCAAGTGTCGGGAAAAGTGTAATAATAAACACTTAATGACTGGTCACGAGGGAAACAGTTAATTTTGTTCCCCGAGAAACTCAACATTGAGATTCGAGGGAAACGAAATTAACTGTTTCCCGAGGGACCAGTCTCTTAAAGTGATTTGTTATATCCAGCGTTTTCACTCACGTGGCCAGCATCTATGCAAATTTATTGGAACAAAAGAAAGCGTTTGCATAAGATATTAATTCAAGTCCCACAGGATTGGTTTGGGACACCAACATGGCCGCCGTTTTGTTGTTTTGGAACACCAATATGGCCGCCGTGACATGTGAAAACGCTCTGTAGCTGGAAATTTCTGTTGGCCAGAACCTCTTTAAAACCTCTAATTTGATAGGTTCTTGTTGGCCCGAAGCTCTATGGTTTCAGAGTTGGGGTTCATTGTTAGTTTTGTTTGGGTTAGGGCTATCTATTCTTTTCTAAACCAATCCTGTGAGCCGTTCTATGAGCTTCCGGCCCACCCGAAAATTTTAAAGCTGGAAATTCATGAAATCTCGGTATAACAGCAGTCGTCGGTCAACATTTCGAGGGTAACAGTGCGCTGTAACCCTCTGACGTCATAGATTTTGCAATGTTGCCCTCTCAGAGATTTTGCCGTGAAACAGCTTCATTGTTAGATGTCATGTGACCTCGAAGTAACCAAAGAGTGCGCGCGCTGTTTCATTCCAAAACAACATACTTTTCAAATCACTGTCCAATAGGCAATTCCCGAGTTCCGAAAACTCTCACTTTCAAAATGAACTGAAGCTAACTGAAAAAACCTTTCGTGTGCAAACGAGTTTTATTTGCATGAGAAAAAAAATCATTTTCATATCACTTGAATGGCTTCGCAGTTTGAAACAGGCTGTGGCAACTCGGTAGTGGAACATTTATATTTTTGTTTTGCAGAGATAAAAAAAATGAAACTTATTACAAGGTGTTAACTACGGTTCTAGAAAGCCAGGGTTCGTAGATGTTTGTCATAAAGGGTAATTACCAAATAACAATAAATTGTTTTCCTTTCTACAGGCAGTTTTAGAGTTCTATTTTTCACGAAGACCCCAAAATCTTATGCTTCAAATTTCTATCTTTTTTAAATAAAAGATTTGATGATGATATCATGATGATGAAGACTATAAAGAGAGGAAATTACATAGTTTGAGACGATTAATGCGTAGATAAGAGGACAAAGAGCCAAGGTACGCAACGAGCCAAGCATTTCGTCAATATGATGTTATCTCAGGAGTTTATTCGATTTGTGCTCACTCACCTGCTCTGAAACACTGAGTTTTCTTCGCAACAATTTGAGCTCGCGACAAAGCTACGTTATAAACCTGCAAACAAGCTATGCGTCCACGGAAGACGCGTCTATCACCCGACCTCTGCCCAACGACAACAGGGTAATTAGTTGCTAGGCCCAATGGGAACTTCCCGACGTTTCTCTGAGAGACAGGGAGGCCATTCACCCAGAGAGTGGCCAGTCCTGTGCGATGATCGTACGTGGCACTGACATAGTTCCAAGTGTACGGCTTGATACCTTTACTGGTGAGCGGTTTTACTCTCCTTCGCGAGCCTTGTCTTGGCATTAAACGAAAATAAAGTTCGTTCGGGCGAGTCAACCAAAAGTGAACTCCCCATCCATTGGGATTGTAATGCACTATGGGACCAGGCTTTTCCGGGTACACCCAGGCAATAATAGTTATGGAGTATCGAGTATCAAGACAACCGTTGTTAGGGATTAAAGCATAACTGCGTCTTCCTCTTCGCCCTTTTATCCCAGGGAAAAAGTAAGCTCCCTGAGGATGTCTATCGGGCCCTTGAATAAGGGAAAGACCAACAAGCCGAGCTGTTGGGTTCCTAAATTTGCTGACGTCACTTCCACGAGACGCACTCGTAAATGGGTACACAGCAATCGCTCCTCCGGAAATAATTACTGGAAAAAAAGATAAAAAGATATCCCTGTTAAAGACTGTTTGTTAAACCTCGGTTTCTTTAAATTGAATGATTTGTTTTACGCTACTTAATTGATTGCTAGGTGCTTTTGGCACTTGTTTTAAAAATACTAGGTTAGAGAAATACTAGACCTATTCACATAATAATCATTTCTTAACACGTTTAGAATGAGGAGTGATTTCAGATGATTACGTAGGAAGAAAAAAGGATCTTAAAACTTCTACTTCCAGAGGTGCTTTTCTCAGTTTGTGCAAAATTACAATTGGTAGCCGGTGTAAGAATTTCACGTCACAAGGGGACTATAGTGTAAGAAATACCTATAATGTTAAAATATGTACTATGCGCACGATGTCTCATGTACAGTAACCCGCGTAAGAGAACTAAGTTTTTCCAAGCTAGGCTAAGAAGGTTCTTATAAAAATGGTGCTAACTGGGGAATGAAGCTACTCAGGTTCTTAAACAGGTTCTTATTCCTAAAGCTAAATAAGGAGTTTGTCATTGGTGGGTGTGGTCTATTTTGGGCCTATTTTTCGTACTGCATGCATAACATGTGTGTATTGTGTTCTGTTGCCATATGGTATTGGTAATGGTATTATAAACAAAAAGAGGCAATCATACGTGGGACTATATGGGTGTGCAAGTGCAAGGATATGTAGATCTACATGTCAATTGTCTCATTGCCGAGGTCTTGTCTTCATCTTACCAACTGTTTGAGCTTGTTCTATTAAACTTGTGTATTCAGAGTTTGACTGAATTTCTCAAAATTGAAACCTGTTACAAAATTGTAGGCTAAAACAGATTCTTATGTAAAAGGGGTCTAAAAAGACAATCTTAGCCTAACAGGTTCTTAAATCTAGGTTCTAATACGCGGGTATTTACTGTATTTGACTTAGCGCTCGCTCCTTTCAACAAAGTAGTAAAATACCTGGTGAACTACAAATTCTGTCCTTAACAATCCGCGTAATTGACACCAGTCTCCTTGCGCCGACATTAAACACGTGTCTAGACCCGGTTGCAATCTGCAACAGAAATCTTCTTCTTACACTGCCGATACCAATGGCGTATATTTCAACACCAGATGCTTGCAAGCGCCTTGCGGGGCGCCTTATTCTATCGCGAGAGGTTCCGCTTGTCAAGACAATAAGTACTCTTCTTCGCCCACAGCGCGGCTTGCCTCGGAACAGGTAGCGTCTGGTATATGTCAGGGCTCTCCCGAGATATCTTCCACCTCGCCTTCTAAGCTGCAGCCGGTCCACAGCTCTGTAGATTTGTGCTCGCGCGTAAGTTCTTGCAAAACTCATCATTAAAGTGGGTCTGGACGTGAACAGCACAATGCCGACTCGTACTTTTGTCCTTGAAACTTCAAATAGTCTGATTGTCTCCTTGATGTATTGTCGAATCACACGGGAGCTGAATCTGCCAGGTGATGCGTCCACTAGGAAGCCAAGATCAATACGAGCTCTGCAAACTAAGCATTTAAAGGGGGAAAACAAATAATTCAGATAATTGACAGTGCTGATTATCATCATAATACCTTGTCAAAACGGCTATAAAAGAATGGTGCTAAATTCCCCAATCCAGGCAATAGGTACAAGCTTTACGCGCAACGATTTCTGGGAGCGTGTGGTTGGACTAGCGTTAGTTATGACCAATCATAACTAACGCTTGACCACCCAAAGCTTGTACCCATTTTCCCTAGAGTTTCTAAAGCGGGGAGTAAAAGTATTCTTACCTCGTGGTGGGGGTGTTGGGTGTGGCGCAGGTGGCGATTGCGGCGGTGGTGGAACTGGAGGAGAGAGCGTATTTTCCAGTTTAAAACCATCCTAACTTTAAACTTTGCATCATTTTCGCCTTAATTATGTCCCTAGACTCACTTTACCCCTTTCCCCTTTCTTCTCTGCCATAGACAGATTGACTGTTTATTGATGAGAGAAATGTGTCTGTCTGTCGTTGTCGAATACATCAGCAATCATGGTGAAACCTAGACCTACGCAAATCATGTGACAGCGAGTACTCAGAACTAAAATGCTACGAATACAAAGCCGTGCCGTTTATGTTAACAATTTTACTGGAAAATGAACATAGCCAGGAAATAAAGATTAGAAATGGAAAATAGGTCTGTACTAACTTGGCAAAAAGCACTTTCGTTTTGCTTCGTCGACCTGTTTCCGGCTTAGTGCGACACTGTAGATTTGTGCACAAAAGAGTCTTCCACGGAAATATCTCCTATCGCCAATCCGCGCTCCAAGCCTTATACGGTAGTTTGTAGACAACTGGATGCGGCCGATCCTTCTGTACGCAACTGCTCTCGAGTTTATAAACAGTGTTGCTCTGCCTGTCCTTTCGTCATAAGTGGCACCAACGTAATTCCATGCCTTGTACTTGATACGTCGACTTTTAATTGCTGTTGTGAACTGGCGCGAGCGTCTCACGAAGCGCACGAAAAGCTCTCGCCGTCCCGTCATCCACAAATGGACACCGAATCCCCGTGGGTTATAATTGAAGATAGGACCTGCCACTCCCTCATGAAATACCCAAACAAGAATGGTTATAGAGTATCTGGCGTCCAACCTTCCCGTGTTTGGTATTTCCACATAGCTGTTTCGTCGTCCGTAGAATCGTAAAGACCCATCCCGCCGTCCGTCCGGACCCGGAGCAGGGCGAACGCCGATTAGAATTGCCTTGGGGTTTCTGTTTCTGCTTATGTCCTTTCCTCGACGTACTCCGTCCAATGCATATACCGCGAGTGTTTTTGGAAGGGGAGCTGCAAATGACAGAACTCTTGTTAGAATAGAGGCAAGAGTACAGATTCACCTATAATTTATACTAAAGACATACTTATCTTGATTTAAGTTACAATTACACCTAACAATACATTTGTTCATTTCTGTCATTCCCCTTTACTAGATTTGCAAACGAATAAGTCTCTTCTTTATCAAACATTAAGGATGAAGAATTGGTATCAAGGATTTGTAGGACGCTATATTAACGAAAAAGGGTTCGGGAAGATTCATGCATAACTCACCTCTTGTTGGCTTAGGTGGAACCGGAGAAACTAAGAAAAAGGGAACATAAGAAAATGTTATTAGGTGAAAAGCATGTCATTGCGGTTATCATTTTCGCGCACCCTTATTACTATACATGATCGTCAAAGACGGAAAGCTTGGCCATAGGAGGGCTCAGAAATCTCCTGCTAGTGAGAGAAAGCCAGGGTTTTTTCTTTGTGGGGTGAATATGAAAATTTTAGGGCCTGGAACATTCGCTTTTAATATTTAAATAAAATTGTTATGATGGCTTCCGCTTCAAAAAAAAAAAAAAAAAAAAAAAAAAATAAAAACTTTTTTTTTTCCCCCCCATAAAATTCCAAATAAAAATAATTATGGAATCGGAAAAGGAGTTTAAAAGAAAAATATCAAAAAAAAATAAATATAATAAGAGAGACAAAAAAAAAAAAACAACCGTTTTCCAGGGAGGCGAAGTAGGGGGAGAGAAAATCCCGTGTTAGGTGAGAAAGGGCGGGTTTTTTTTTTTTGGGAGGTAAAAATAAAATTTTGGGGGCAGGAAAATTTCTTTTAAATAATTAAAAAAAATTTTTTAGATGGCCTCCCCATAAAAAAAAAAAAAAAAAAAAAAAAAATTAAAAGCTTCTTTTCTTCCACCGCATACACTGCCCAATTCACTGAATTATGGAATCGTAGAAGTAGTTTAAAAGAACAATTTTCAAGAAGTTTTTCTGGCTTTTGGGTGACAATATTAAAATAACAGGCGTTTTCCAGGGATGCGAAGTTTGTAACAAAGAGGCACACGTACTAAAATAACGAATACCACGGGAAACTCTGGAACACCTTTGGGTTCCAGGGCGTTACCATTCAAATAGGGAAACTGGGAATTCCGGTCGGAAAAGCAAATGGTTCGAGCCATTTCCTTTCGGGAGCTTTTAAAGATAAGAGCGATGATTTGAGGTGATGCAATTTTTCTTTTGTTTCGCCAGCTGATTTGGATAAACTTTGTAAGGGGACCTTCCCCCACAAAGCCAAATTTAATAGGCCATTTGCAGAATGGCGTCATTTTACTACTACCAGAATTCTTTTCGTTTTTCCTTTCACATTTAAATTTGGTAATCCCAGCGAGGTTTAAATAACAAAGGCGCTAGTTTGCACAAGAAAACAAAAACACGAAGGATTCTGGTCGTAGTAGTAAAATGACGCCATCATGCAAATGGCCTATTGAAAAATGTTTAGTAACGAGATTTCTAGCCGGATGGCTTGAGTAAATGGTTAGCGCCCGTGGTATTTAACATTTCGCATGACGTTACAAACATTACTTGGTGGTGTTGTCTCAGGAAAGCTGTTTGGCAAAAACAGTTGAGCCCGCGGTTAAATAATCTATTTCAGAAAGGCACGGAAACGAGGTAATCAGGTTAATGCAATTCAGAACTATCCGTTCCCCTCATGTTTATCTCGAAACCGCGAACAACTATAATAGCAGCTGTTTTTTCTTAGTGACCCTATGCACAAACCTGGTGGAGTGATAATCTGACAGATTTTAGATCTTATGGTATTCGATAATGTAGCCAGTCCTCTGAATGATGCAACAGAAAAATGTTGCCTATCGTTTGCGATTTGCAGCAGCTGGCGTCTCTTCAGCGCTTTCCCGATACCAACAACAAAAACCTCCACGCCTTGTGCCTTTAGTAACGCTGCCTGCCTGGACACGGGATCTTGAGATATTCCGTCTGTAAGCATGACAAGAATACGCTTGCTGTTACGGCGTCTACGTCCGCTGAACAGGTATCTCCTTGTGAAAGCTAACGCCTTGCCAATGTAGGTGCTGCCGCGTGGGTAGCGGATGTTGTCAATAACTTGCTTGATGTGGGTGACCGTGTTCAACTGACCAAACCTAAACAGCGGTATGGGCCTCGTGGAGAACAGAACAGCACCAACGCGTGATCGGGTCCTGGATATCGGTAGTGTGACGACGATAGACTTGATAAAATCAAGCATTAGCCGAAAGTTGCCCCGGCCGCGGTATTCAATGCTTCCAGAACCATCGATCAGGAATCCGAGGTCTACCACAGTTTTGCAGACTGGAATTGAATGACAAAAAAGGAAACTAATCTTAACTAACAATTCAAACTGTTTCTCAGTAATTAAACCCCAGGCAGGTTACAGTAATCATACTTTATCATATCTGTCTTAGACTAAACACAGACTAGCCCAATGAAGATCGGTAAATCAGGACTCCTTGATACCATGTGAAGTGCCCTCCCCACCCATGCCCACAACCCATGAGAGCTGCACACTAGAGATTGTCAATGCCACAGAGGGTTAGGTCTGTAAGGGGTCTTTACGTCCCACAATAGTCGTATAAGAGAGACGAGGCAGTGCTTGTCACCTAGCCGGATGCCAGTCAGCAGCACTAGTTCTACGTATTTAGGACTCAAGAATTGTGAACTGTTTCGATTTTTTCGAAACCTTGAACGTGCAGTTGAGTCTTTTTGCAAAACTATTGGCAACTTCTTTTGACGTTTGGAGATCGCAAATATGGCGTAGGCTTAAGGGCAGCTATAACGGCACTACTCTATTAAATAATACAAAACTAAATAAAGTACAGCCAGGACCAACTTGAGGTGTCTGTCTTATGAAGGTATTGAAAGAGTTGACTGAATACACTTGGAAACCAAAGAGAATTTAAGGAAACAGAAACGAAATTATTTACCACTACGATAGGCAACTGTATTGTAATTGGATGAAATGCTTTGTTCTTAGTTATTACAGGCAGTTCCGATGTCCCTGGTTCTTACAACGATTAATTATCCTAATTCTAGCAAACACAAAGCTTTCAAAAGAGTGTATCGATAGCTGACTAAAACTAACTTATCGGCACTTATTATAATTATCATACCTGGTGACGGAGGTGCCGGAGGTGGTTTTCCTGTCAACCAAAAAAAAAAAGAAAAGAAAAAAGGAGAAACCATTATTTTAGCCTCACAAGGAACGTTTTAGCTCCTTCCTGCATTCAGTGAAAAGGGTGACAGCTTACAAAAGTTGTGTTTACTTACTTTTAAAACATCTCTTGGAAGCATCGATTATCTGCTTCCGATTCAGTGCCACACTGTACACCTGAACACAAGACACTCTGCCACGGAAGTAACGCCGATCACCGACCTTTGCACCCATTCGTACTGGGCGATTCGTAGCCAGGCGTAACCTCCCGATGTTGGTCCGAACTACGGGTCGGTTGTTCACCCAGAGAGTCGCCATACCTGTATTTCCATCATAGGTTGCGCCTAGGTAGTTCCACGCTTTAAAGCGCACGTTTCCACCGTGAGTGACGAGCGGCGTGGTGAAGCGACCATCGCGTTTCACAAACCGTGCAAAGAATTGCCGTGGCCGTGTCATCCATAGATGGACTCCCCATCGTGGTCCACGGTTATAATTAAAAATGGGCCCCGACTGTCCTAAGTGCAATACCCAGGCGAGAACAGTTATAGAAATTCGAGTATCCAGCTTTCCTCTATTCGGAAATTCGATGTAGCTGTTTTTACTTCCGAAGAACTCGGTGGCTGTATTTGGCCATCCGTCGGGTCCCGGTCCTACTCGAACACCAAAAAGCCTACCGTTTGGGTTCCGGTGACCACTTACGTCACGTCCCTTGTTCTGCTCGTCCAGAGGGTATATAGCAACAACGCGAGGCAGTCCTATAATATAGCAAAAGGCGAGACTTAAGACAACAGAGCCACTAAGCAAGAAGTTTAGAGTATTTAGCTCAAGATGAAGCATAAACCGAAAAGCACTCTTCTTGCCGGAATCAGTGGCACAGTAAAACCAAAACACACTGTACACTTTAAAAAGCAAAGTATCATTTCCGCCAAGTTTTCGCAAAGCCTTTGAAAAATTTGCGCAATAGAGAGAGAGCAGTCCAGATACATCGAACACACCCGGCTTTCAACAGGCAACCGAGGCTATTAGGTCGCGTCCCCGTTGCGCGGTACTCCTTTCAAGTGAACAGCGGGTCATGTGACCTAATGAGGTTGCAATCTTGAAAAAAAAAACGTGATGCGGTCGAGACGTCGAGAAAAGTTTCACTAGTTTCCGCGGAGTTAATACATTTTTGCATAAGTGAAGGGATTTTCATCAAATATAACGCTGCCAACCTTGAAAAAGTTGGGCGGCGTTTTCAAATTGTAGTTACCTTCTTTCCCACCCATCCCTAGCCAAAGACAATTTTCCCAAGGATGTTCTTCTACGGCAATTCTTAGCAAGTCCATACCACCCTCCCTGATGCAGCATTTATTCGATCCTGAGGATTTCCATGTACATATTACAGGTTACATTTGATTGCAGGTTAATTCTGAATTAACCTAGGATGATTCTCAATTTCCTTTGTCTCCTAGCCCTAAGGGAGAAGGGAAAATTGAGAATCAACCTAGCTAAAAAATTTTAACCTGAAGGCAAAATTTGATCTGTAACATAATTTTTATACAAACGTGTCCGTTCGATTTTCAGGTAGCACTTGATCTTGCTAACACTGCGACTACAAAATATATTTCATTTTATTACTAACGAGTTGTTTAACTTACTCGGCACTGTCGGCGATGGTGTCACTGGCCCTAAAAAGTGATTTACAATAATAAGGTAAGCATGATTAAAATAATAATAAAAAGTAAGTGCGTGAGTGAGTAAATGCGAGAGTTAGTAGGTAAGTAAGGTCAGCAGGGTAAAATCTAATGAACGTCTGATGTCTTCAAGACTACTGCAGGTTTTAACGCTCGACAATAACGTTAAATAGACTTATTTCAAAAATTGACAATTAATTGCTCAAGCCCTTCAAACAACAAATTAAGATTGGACATTCTTTAGTCTGTTTTTCGAAATGAAAATTAAGGTACGTGTTAGCATGATAAGCGTGAACTTACTTGCACGGAAACAGAACCTCTTAAGTTTTCTTATCTGGTAGGAATTCAATGCTAGGTTGTAAATCTGAAGACACGCAATGCGACCACGGAAGTGCCGGGGATCACCAGGTCTACGTCCAGACACTGCCGGGTAATTTGTCGCCAGTCGAATCCTTCCGATATTTCGTTGTGATATAGGGATGGAATCCAACCACAATGTTGCCAGACCCGTGTTATAATCGTACGTTGCTGCAATGTAGTTCCACACTCGCGATCTAATCCTCCTTGCAATTCGCCTTGTGACCTTTCGATTACGACTGACGAACTCCGCGCGGATGACCTTACGGCTGATCATTCGTAGATTAACACCGATACCCCGGGGAAAGTAATGGAAAATAGGTCCGGCGCTTTCGGGCATTAGCCAAAGTAGGATGGTGATGGAGTTCTGAGCATCCAAACGCCCTGTGTTTGGGAAGTATATGTAGCTGTTTGCGAATCCTTGGAGCTGATAGGATCCTGCTGGAAGCCCATCGGGGCCGTTCTTGGGCACTACGTTGACAAGTTTAGCTCTTGGGTTTTTAAAGGGGCCAATGTCTTTCCCGCGGGTGATGCCATTCAGGGGGTAAATGCCCATTGCTGGAGGCGGAACTGGAAAAAGAGAAATTGTGGTAAGATATTTCAAATTTGAACATATCCAACTGAATCACAGTTATAGTAATTTTCCTCACCTAGCTTTTGTGTTGGACGAGTGGGTATTGTTTGTGGTCCTGTAAGTAAAAGAGCAAACAAAAACAATAATTGTGCAATAATTGAACAAATTCCTGTGCGACGATTGCCCTATATTTGCTGTCGATTAGGACCAGAACGAAAAGCTGACTTCATTAGCAAAATTTCTAGCTGTTTGCAAAATTTTGCTCAAGTAAAACTCGCTTAACGCGCAACATATAAGGAGGAATTCCACTGTTGCGACATTTTTACCTGCGTACGCGCATAAATATATTTAGCGTGAATCAAAGGTCGCGCTTAAACGTGAAAGTTGAGCGAAGTTGAACTTTCACTTTACGCGCGACCTTCCATACATTGCCTCTATTCTATTTACTGGCGCAAGCGTATAAAAATTACGCGACAATGGAAATCCACCTTTAGGACAGGAAAAAGTGAACAGACACAATATCATAATTTATACAGTAAGTAATATAGGAGCTAAGCCTCTTCTCATTCGATATATATTTCCCTAACACTTCGCTGTGCAGCCGTCATTGGGTCACTCAAACTCTGGATCTTAGGGTACAATTTGAAACAAGCTGACTGAACCGAAAACCTTTAAGTATACGAAGGCAACTTAAAAATCTCCTGTAACTCGGCAACACATACATTGGTCGGACTGTGACTGTGACTGTGACCCAGGCCTTATATGAGAGAAGGAAGCTCAGGAGTGAGGGGCCCAGTCCTGAGTTAACCAACCAAATGAAACAAATAGACGAAAAAAATACCAAAACAAAAACAACAACAAAACAACAAAATTAAACCAGAAAAAGAAAAAGAAATAAAAACCCATACCTGTGGGTGTTGGTTTTCTGATTGGAGTAGCTGCGCATATTTTTGCCACTAATTTCTCAATAACCTTCCTTAGCCCCAATCTCGAGCGTGCACTAAACACGTGGTAACGGTCGTGCGCTATGGAAGACAAATATCTATTACTTCTCCTTCCACCCATCCCAAACGCAAAAATCTCCACGCCACCTCGCTTTAACATCTGAGCTGGGCGACTGACGCTGTCAAACGACTGATCTCCAGTAAGAACAACAAGTATTTTGGATCGGGACCGTGAGCTAGTAGAGTACAGGTATGTCCCAGCAAAACGCAAGGCTCGTCCGGTGTAGGACCTCCCTCGTGGAAAAGGTATCTTCCTTACCGCTCTTAACACGTCGTATTTCCGTGTAAGGCGCTTAAAGTTAAAGACGGGTATGGCACTGCTTGAGTACGTAATGATGCCCACCCTGGTGTAGATTGTGGAGATGTCAAAATATCGGATGATTTGGTAAACAATCTTGAGGATTCTGTTAAATCTATAGCGACTATTAGTGCCATCTATGAGGAAACCAAGATCGATGCGAGCTCTGCAGACTGACAGATAAAATAAATGTTAAAAGAGTCACAATAGGAGCTTATGCTGTGCTGAGCCAAACTCCCAGGGGTGTGATTTTAAACCTGTAGCCCGAATAAGCCTCCTAAGTCCCTCCAGCTACCCCGCCAGAAATTCGCCAGCTACGCCAGCCTGCGGAGCTGGCGGGATTGTGTGCCCAGGCAGGCTACTGAATTAATTGATCCCAAACTCCATTATGCCAGTCTCAAACGTAAATGGAATAGAGCCTCCGGAGGGGGGACTTAAAGAAAATCTCAAGCCGGACTGTTTAGGTTGGTAAGTCGTTGACTACACTGTCCCGTGAAATATATCTTATCAGGTGCAAGATAGTTTCATAATGAGATAACACTTCACTTTTACATACTTTAAGAAGGAATGAATATCAGTAATGACTTAAAAAAATATTGAGAATCTCATCAAATATGCTGCACAAAAGACCCTGGTTTTCGCCAGTTGCATCCGAACTAGTAATGGTCGATCAATGAAAATACATAATGGCTAAGTGACGTCCCCTTTAATTAAAAAACACACTTTCACTTGTGCTTTCAGACTTCCTTACTTTTTCCAGGTGCCAAGGTTGGCTGTGGAGTCGGCCTTGGAGGAGTTGGGTAAGCTGAGGAAGGAAGCGAGATAAATATTAGCAAAGATAAAATATGAAGTAATAGAGAAGAAAAAGAGTCCCTTCTTCAGTTACGAGTCAAGTGGCCGACAATAGCAAGAGATTGTAACCTGGCTTTTTATGGTAACATTAAACAACTCGGGCTACTACTGTAACTGCTGGCTCACTACAATGGAATACAACTTCACTATCCCTAGCTAAATACAAGAATCGTATGCAGCTAGAAGCTTAAGGTCAAACTCCAGATTATTGCATTTACATTATACTTTAGAGTCAATTGAATGGGAAAGACGCTTTAAAGTTAAAGGTCAGACAACCTCAAAATAATGTACAGAATAGGTGTGAAATGTTTGCTAAGGCAAATACGGAACATACTTAAGGTGATTCCCTAGTAAAAGAACCTAACATAGATTGTAGATGAAACTTGGTACACTAATGTACCAAGTCAAGAAGATGATAAAAAAGTAATAAAAAGTGGGGGTCACCGTGCTCGTTTTGACGTCACAATGCTGAGAAATACGGCTATTTTGGACCCTTTGTCAAAAACCGTGCGCAGCCCAAAACTAGACAAAAACGAGAGATTTTGTCGATGATGCATGTGGTATCGCACAGAATTTGACTTTATTGTATTGTTTATCCACTTACATACCAGAAAAATACCTTTTAATGCTCCTGTTTTTATTTTACGCTCCAAAGTAGAATTGAATTGGACACGCGAAATGCATTTTCTCCGAGTTTTGAGAGAGGACTGGGGCGAGTTTCAAAATAGAATGTATGTGAAAGGGGGAAGAAAGTATTAAAAAATCTGTTTTTACAGAATTTACATCGAGATATCACATTTAGGATACACTGTGATAAAGAAAGCGTTTAAATAAAAATCAAAGTGAGTAAGCACAAGTTAAACATCCACTATCGAGGTTGTCTGTGAGGAAGTCGAACTCAGCAACACGCGTACTGCCTACCTTATGCACATTCCCAACACATTGAGTCTCACCTCGGCAAGAAACAACCGCAAGCAAAAATTCCAACAGCGTTTCTCTTCAGTCAACTTCATTTTAATAATGTTACTTCACATGCTCTTTTTTACGGCGGCACATCTTGTTATGCGCAGTAAGAGATGCGCAGTGCAAAACCAGGGAATCACCTTAATTAAAAAAGCTTGGAAGTTAAACTTCAATATACACACTACTTACGATAGTTCTGAGAACTAAATACCTTTAAAACAAAGTCGTTTTGCGATCCTTATAAGCCGCAGGGGGAGTGCCACGTCATAGACCTGCATGCACGTGATCCAGCCCCGGAAGTAGCGACGATCTCCAATTCTTGCACCCATCCTGGCGGGATAATTTGTTGCCAAGCGCATTCGGCCAAGGGCTTTAGAGGCAACAGCCTTGTCATTGACATACAACGTTGCAACACCTGTCTTTTGATCATACGTAGCTCCAACAAAACTCCACGATCGGCGTCTAAGGCGGCGACTGATAAGCGGTTGGGTATAAACACGCGTGCGTCGCACAAAGCGAACGAAAAGTCTTCCGACGCGTGTAACCCACAAATGGACTCCGAAACCTCTAGGATTGTAGTTGAAGATTGGACCGGCACCACCTTTGGGATTCACCCAAGCCAGCAGTGTAATCGAGTTTTTGGTGTCCAGCTTCCCGGTGTTAGGGAACTCAATAAAGCTGTCAGGTGAGCCACGGAAACTGTACGACCCACCTGTTCTCCCATCTGGGCCTGGTGCTGGACGTACGTTGTTAAGTTGACCCGGCGGGTTTTTATTGGGACCGACATCGTAACCACGATATTGGATGGTTAAAGGGTAAAACGCCACGGCATCCGGAAGGCCTAACGAGAAAGAAAAGTTAAGGATTTTTAAGCACCAATTTTATTCCTAATTTTTGAGCTGTTAGGAAGCCAGGGAAAATGTCTTCTCTCTGACTCGAAAGACACCCGCAAAGTCATCTATTTCCATCCTGTATGCCCTTCTGAGGCACACCAGATTGGATTAACCTGGCTTTACTCCGGGTCCTCTCCTGCGACGAAACAAATTACAACATTGCGATGATTGCTCAGAACGTGTTGGCCCCTAAAACAAATATGGGCAAGTACTTACGTGGAGGTATCGTTGGTTTATTTGTCGGACCTAAGGAAAAAAAAATTAGAACTTTGAACGTAACTACAAGACTATCTCTGTCCGAATCAAAAGTTAACATTTCAGCTATTCCATTTTTAAAGCTCCGTTAAAGTTTAAAAATTTACTCGGCCGTTTTCCATGTTATCATTCCACTTCAAGTAATAACAAAGAGGAGAATACCAAGCAAACGAGTATATCATATGTCAAAAACTGAAGCTGGACAAGCTATTTATTTACATTACCTAGTTACCCACAGTCTTCATGGTAACTAAGCAATCCCCTGCTTCGATATAAGGACAGAACAGTTGACTCAAAATGCACTATGTGCTAGGATGCACCAAGTAACATTATCTATAGGTAAGTCCTAGGTATTGTCTCATGATAACAAAAGGTAATGTTGAAAATAATAGTAAAAACATATCTTAACTAATAAAAAAGCGTTGAGCATTAACTTACGTGCTCTGAAGCAGACTTTTTCAGCTCTTTTTATCTCAGGTCCGGACAGAGGTACACTATAGACTTGCATGCACGAGATCCTTCCTCGGAAGTACCTCATGTCTCGAGGCAGCGAACCCATCCTGACAGGACGGTTGGTAGCAAGACGAATCCTCCCGATAAAGACAGACTTAAGAGGTCGAGAATTACGCCAAAGCGTTGCTATTCCCGTCTTTTCGTCGTAAGATGCCCCGACGTAATTCCACTGCCTTGGTATCAATCTGCGACTTATGAGCTGCCGCGTTGGTCTGCCTGTACGGCGAACAAATCGCACGAGCAGAATATTGGGCCTGACAACCCAGAACCGAACTCCACCAGGAGAGAAATGGAAGATTGGCCCTGAACCCTGAGGGTAAACCCAAGCAAGGAGGGTGAGTGAGTAGCGAGAGTCTAGCTTTCCGTTGTTTGGGAACTTAATGTAGCTGGTTTTACGACCAGAAAAGTAAAAAGAGCCATCCGGAAGTCCGTCGGGACCAGAAGCCGGCCGTACTCCGTACAACTCTCCTTCGGGATTTCCGCTGGAACTGATGTCCTTTCCTCTTGTTCTTTTATTAAGAGGATACAAGGCAACAATACGAGGAAACCCTGCCGGAAAAAAAGGTTATAAAAATAATACATTTAATACAATAGCACAGTTTGCTTAAGCAATGTAATTCTCGTGATCAGTTTACCCTAGATAATAATAACTCTTAAAGTTAGAAACACTTGTAAAAATATGTCTCCATACAGATTTATTCCGATCCTTCTTACTAAAAAAGGATCTCTTAATAAAAATACAGCCCTGCTTCGTACGTATCGCAAAAAAAGGTTGTCACGAGGGGGAAAACAATAGATAGGTGGCTTGGAAGGTGAATGTATCACATTAAAATATAAAAAAAAATTGTATCGTTCAGAGATTAGTTATCAGTTATTTTCCAATCAAATTATGAGATCATTTCAAAGTAGGACAAATTAAATTTATTTTACCAAAGTGGAGTCAACCAACATTAAGACTTACTTTGTCTTGCAGTTGGCTTCGTTGTTGGTCCTAGAAGCAAAATACAGTGCAGATTAGACCAGTTGCTTTTGATGCTTAAGCTTAAATCGCGTGTGTCAAAAAATGGTGGCCGGAGACTAGGGTGATGTTACAGGAGACAATGGCAATGTTGGCATAATGTTGTAACGCTGAGTTGCGCTAAAAATCGTCGTTGTGAATTGTCCCGTGTACTATCATCTTTAAAGCGGTCTCTGTTTTGAATTGTGGTATTAGTGCAGGGAAGGGCACCCCATCTTTATCGCTCTGATACATCAAAACATTTTTTTCATAAAAAGCAAATAATACAGCTCGTACCTCTCGTTGGTCTTGTGATCGGACAAAGACAAACCCGGTGTGTTGCTGGCAAAAGGTTTCCTCCAGTTCCTGCAAACGAGAAGCTCTTATATTAAACCCTTAATGTCATATTTCAATGTCAAATAGGTTTTGGCTATGCAGAATAGTTCATTTTGGACCCTGTTGCAATTGTTCACTCAGGGCGGCCAGAGAAGAGAGGAGGCATGGTATTTTCTCTCCCTCCCACATTTTAACACCTCAACAAGAAATTTCGTACTGGTTTATACTCGATAAAAATCGGCACGAGGCTATTTGCATTTCTTCAATTACGGTACATTACTCTGATATGCACTTGTACGCGATATCTTGTCTTCTCTAACGCCAGGAAAATAGCCAAAGTGAGAATTTATTAAAAAGTTCGGAAAGACGATAAT